GTGCCGATCTGACACACCAGTCAGATTCTTCAGGCCTGTTGCCCTAATTCCCCGCTTTCCCAGGCCATTATGGCTCAGCATGGCAGCATTGGACCAACTGATATCTAGGCCCGTATGAACAGTGTCTCAGAATAGGAGTGCTGATCTAGGATCAGGTTCTCCCTGTCCATATAATCTTATCCATTATGATCTTAAATCTTCGATCAACACTGCTACTCTGAGACGCTTTAAGACTACAGGCCCTGGTTTTACTGAATGGTACTGGACTTAACTGGTGTTGGTTACTGTACCTTCAAGGGTCATATTCTGCCCAAAGTGTTCATGCTCCTGTTATTTTAGCCCAAGCCAAGAGGCAAGCCTGTTCTTTTCACCTGCTTTTTCTGTGTCCGTCATCATCCTCTCATGTTTCCTTTGATATCAGAAAGCCATTGATTTGCCATAAAATGTCCCCATGTACTGTAGTATATTGGCATTTGCCAGCAGGGTTTTGGTGAAGAATCACAGCACTTTATAAGGTTGTAGAACAAACAAAGGACCTTACAATGAATGGCAGCTACAATGAACCGTTCATTCTGCAATGAAACTCTACAATGAAGTTAAAGGGATAGTTCACCCAAATTACAAAATGACATTGGTTTCCTTACCCTGTAAGCAGTCTATGGACAAGATATGACAGCAATCCATGCTTTAGTTTAGTTTCCCTGACACTTTCCACATGCTACCATTTTAGCATTTGTGGCACAAATCCCATTCAAGTCATGGGACCGTTATTAGCATTTTTACATGCATCATGTTCAAATCATCTATAAGTGACTTTGTTGAGCTTCACAATCAATTTGAGATACTTTCGGATGATTTGGACATGATGCGCGAAAAATTCTAATATCGGTCCCATGACTTGAATGGGATTTGTGCCACAAATACTAAAACGTTAGCATGTGGAAGTGGTGCCAAAGAAACTAAACAAAAGTCATACCTTGCCAATAGACTGCGTACAGGGTAAGGAAACCAATGTGTAATTTTGTAATTTGGGTGAAATATCCCTTTAAATGAATCAATCAATCAACATGATAGGGTACCATGGCATGGACTGACTCGCCATAATAACGTCATGTCTCCCCCGCTGTTTGTTGTGGTTGTCACACTCCGATACAGTAAGTGCTGACAGAGGAGAGGGAATGATGTGTTGGTTGTGCTCAATGTGTTGACACGTGTTGGGGCAGAGTGTTTTGTCTGCTGTGGTGGTTCAGCCTAGACAGACAAACGTTGACTTGTCATTAGAGGTTGGATTAAGGAGGGTAGGCCTGATTGAGTGAGCAGGACGGAGGAGGCTTGATGGAGTGAGCAGGATGGGGGAGGGGAGGCCTGTTAAAAAACGATATACACTGCTCAAAAAAATAAAGGGAACACTTAAACAACACAATGTAACTCCAAGTCAATCACACTTATGTGAAATCAAACTGTCCACTTAGGAAGCAACACTGATTGACAATACATTTCACATGCTGTTGTGCAAATGGAATAGACAACAGGTGGAAATTATAGGCAATTAGCAAGACACCCCCAATAAAGGACTGGTTTTGCAGGTGGTGACCACAGACCACTTCTCAGTTCCTATGCTTCCTGGCTGATGTTTTGGTCACTTTTGAATGCTGGCGGTGCTTTCACTCTAGTGGTAGCATGAGACAGAGTCTACAACCCACACAAGTGGCTCAGGTAGTGCAGCTCATCCAGGATGGCACATCAATGCGAGCTGTGGCAAGAAGGTTTGCTGTGTCTGTCAGCGTAGTGTCCAGAGCATGGAGGCGCTACCAGGAGACAGGCCAGTACATCAGGAGACGTGGAGGAGGCCGTAGGAGGGCAACAACCCAGCAGCAGGACTGCTACCTCCACCTTTGTGCAAGGAGGAGCAGGAGGAGCACTGCCAGAGCCCTGCAAAATGACCTCCAGCAGGCCACAAATGTGCATGTGTCTGCTCAAACGGTCAGAAACAGACTCCATGAGGGTGGTATGAGGGCCCGATATCCACAGGTGGGGGATGTGCTTACAGCCCAACACCGTGCAGGACGTTTGGCATTTGCCAGAGAACACCAAGATTGGCAAATTCGCCACTGGCGCCCTGTGCTCTTCACAGATGAAAGCAGGTTCACACTGAGCACGTGACAGACGTGACAGAGTATGGAGACGCCGTGGAGAACGTTCTGCTGCCTGCAACATCCTCCAGCATGACCGGTTTGGCGGTGGGTCAGTCATGGTGTGGGGTGGCATTTCTTTGGGGGTCCGCACAGCCCTCCATGTGCTCGCCAGAGGTAGCCTGACTGCCATTAGGTACCGAGATGAGATCCTCAGACCCCTTGTGAGACCATATGCTGGTGCGGTTGGCCCTGGGTTCCTCCTAATGCAAGACAATGCTAGACCTCATGTGGCTGGAGTGTGTCAGCAGTTCCTGCAAGAGGAAGGCATTGATGCTATGGACCGCCCGTTCCCCAGACCTGAATCCAATTGAGCACATCTGGGACATCATGTCTCGCTCCGTCCACCAACGCCATGTTGCACCACAGACTGTCCAAGAGTTGGCGGATACTTTAGTCCAGGTCTGGGAGGAGATCCCTCAGGAGACCATCCGCCACCTCATCAGGAGCATGCCCAGACGTTGTAGGGAGATCATAAAGGCACGTGGAGGCCACACACACTACTGAGCCTCATTTTGACTTGTTTTAAGGACATTACATCAAAGTTGGATCAGCCTGTAGTGTGGTTTTCCACTTTAATTTTGAGGGTGACTCCAAATCCAGACCTCCATGGGTTGATAAATTTGATTTCCATTGATAATTTTTGTGTGATTTTGTTGTCAGCACATTCAACTATGTAAAGAAAAAAGTATTTAATAAGATTATTTCATTCATTCAGATCTAGGATGTGTTATTTTAGTGTTCCCTTTATTTTTTTGAGCAGTGTATTATCATGAATGAAGTTGGACTTTGATGTGGCTTTAATAGTAACCTCTAACACCCTGTGTGTGTTGAACAAACACCCCCCCACACACACACATTTTACAAGGAACTCAGTTGTGAAACATCTTACTGTTACATTTTTATAGGGAACTTAACATTATTCTCAACTGACACTTCACTTGCTGCAAGGTTCAACATCTAAGTTGGCGGTTTCATTTCAGCTTTCAAGGGGTTTGTATGGTTACTGGGGTAACAAATGCAACAGATGAGTTCATATTGTAAATTTAAGAGTTATCTCTCTTCTCTCTCTTTTTCTGTCGGTCTGTCTCTTTCTCTCTCGCTCTCCCTCTGAGCACATGCATGACATCATTTATGTCTTACAGGATTTCACTCATCTTGACTGAAGACCCAGAATCACCTATAGGCCTACTGTTGAGTTCCTTGAGGACCAAACCCTTTTCCCCTGCCCCACATACTCCTAAACAGTTTACTCTTATGCCCCATATAGGTTTCTCTTAAACAGTTTACAGAAACCTAATGTGTTGCCAAAAGGCCTGTCTCTCCAACCCCCTTACACTGGTATGTTGGACAGTGAGTGTGGGAGCTGGAACAATGGGCTCTTCTCTCTGGGTCAGTACCAGTCTATTAACACCACAGACCGAGAGGGTTTATCATCACCAAGTGTGTCAGTTAATTTATAGACACACTGACGTGTTATGTTATGTCAGTGACTGAATGTACAGGGATTTGACATATAGGTGGATCGTAAGTAGGCTAATTCCTTCCTTAGATTAAGATTAGTGACTGGATGCACAAACCAGCCAGTCATGTGAAATACTGTACAGTCAATATAAGCCCAAACCAGCTGATAGTGCTGTTTGATCTTGGATTTAGAGATTTTGTAACAGTTGTGGGACTCCTTAATGACCCTCCCACCTGTGCCTTTCACTGAAGGCTTGATGTAATTTTTGTGACTTGCACGTGCCTCTCCAGGTGTGTGTTTTTTTGTGCACCCTTAGTATATTGTGAAACTTAAACCAATGCCACAGTCCTACAATACCTAATCCTTCAATATCATGAAATGTCAGGAAGGAAGGAGGATTCCTGTGGATGCAGTCATGAATTTAAATAAAGCATGCAGCCAACATACAGAAAGGTGGACCGGTAGAGAGCAGAGTTTTTTCTTTCTTCTTGGGTGACATCTGAGGATTGGGTTTTGTCCTGTGGACCATAAGACCTGAAGTGAATCCCAACAAGCACCAGAGGGAGGTTATGAGTTAGCCTAGGTCTACTGCTGGTTTTCCCTTGACCATGCTGCTCCCTCGGTAGGTACAGGGTAAGCCAATATTGACTCACGTGGTGCTAGCGTAGGCGGCTGTTCAGTCCGGTAATGGCTCACATGCTCTAAGATCGCAGATCAACACGGGGCAATGTGAGGGACAGACCAATGTTCTGTTTGTTTATATCTGCTTGTATCCATGACGACAGCTTTTGTATTGAGAGAACCGTTAACTTGAAGCCAAGAAGTGAGCGGGCAATAGGTTCAAAGAGTCAGACTTTGGTCCTAGCATTTTGTTATCCATAAGCTCTTCAAAGCTGTGATGAACCTATGATGCTAAATTAACCTATGATGGTCTGGGATCGGTGTCTCTGCTAGTGTTTACCTGGCCTCACACTTAGCCTACATAGGCAGGGCGAGACCCTACACCCTTCCTAACAAATCATCCAAAGGAAACACTGGTCTGTGTTTCTATAAAAATAACTCTGTATTATTCTGTTGCGATATCAGTGTCTCTTCCCTATTGCTCCATATGAATGACTGGAGAGATGTTGCCATTTTGTTGTGAGATCAGTTTCTGTTCCAATCATCTCTGTATAAATGACTGAACAGATGTTGCCATCATAGAATTAGTAGAACGGGCATCCCCATTCAGGTCAATTATGCCATAATGGGTGGACTGGTGGCCATTATTAGTGTCCCCATAGGAGCAAAGCAGGAAGTATTTTTTGTTCTGTTCTGAGATCAGTGTTTGTGCGTATCCCCAGGTGGATGGAGGCGTGTGTAGAGGAGGAGCTGCCCTCCACCACAGATCTGGAAGAGAGTCTGAGGAACGGAGTCTACCTTGGAAAACTGGCCAAGTTCTTCGCCCCGAAGATGGTGTCTGAGAAGAAGATCTACGACAGGGACCAGGCCCGCTACAAGGTGACCTTTTTCCTCATATTGGAAAGATCCGGTACCACGGGATACTCCTATCAAATTAATTGACACTTTTTCAGACTTAATTTAACTAGGCTGCTAGGATACTGAGTAAAACAGACCACAAATCTGGGCGGCAGTGGGCGCTATCTAATTCCTATTCTCATCCCCACACATCTTCTTTATCTAATTCCTCCCCTCCCCCTCTCCTCTCCCCCACACCCCATCTATATCTAGTGCCTCCCCTCTCCCCCACACCTCTCATCGATCTAGTCCGTCTCCCCCACACCTCCCCTCTATCTAGGTCCTCCCCACACCTCCTCTCCTCTCCCCCACACCCCCTCTCTGTCTAGTACCTCTCCCCCACACCCCACCTCTATCGAGACCTCTCCTCTCCCTCTCTCCCCCTCACCTCTCTATCTAGTTCCTCTCCTCTCCCCCACACCCCACCTCTATCTAGTTCCTCTCCCCCATTCCCCACCTCTATCTAGTCCCTCTCCTCTCCCCCTCTCCTCTCTTCTCCCCCACGCCTCCTCCCCTCTCCCCTGCACCTCCATGGCGTCATAAAGGAAATGTCTAATCCCAGATCCAACGCAGACAACCTCACTTCCTGTCAACCATCTCCCAGGGGACAGAGAGATGGCACCCCCGCTCCCCCATGTTAAAAACAGCAGCTGTGCTGACACAACACACTCACTCATACACTCTCCTTCATCTTTCCATGTGCACATCTTTGCATGCGTGCGATTCCTACCAAAAACATGCTGTTGCTGATACACAACAGACTCAGTTGCTGGAATCTAATGTTTCTGATTTGTCTGTTTGTCTCCAGCGCACAGGACTTCACTTCAGACACACAGACAACACAGTGCAATGGCTACGGGCCATGGAGTCTGTAGGGCTGCCTAAGGTAAGACTAACACACACACACACACACACACACACACACACACACACTGCCCAAGTCCCTCCTACCAGAGGCATACAGTATCATATACTTGTAGTAACTGGTGATATCACAAGGCTGAGTTGCCTGTTTTATGGATTTTACTAAGTCAAATGACAGTGGACCAGGTAAATTTAAAGCATGCTGTTCTACTGCGTTCTTATGGATGCCTGAGACCAACCTAGAAGGGTGTGGCTGTGGTGGGTTTACTACTACTACTACTACTAACACTAATAGTGTTATTATTAATAATGCATATGTTATGTGTAGGGACAAAATGTGTTCCATCTGGAGCTGATATGGAGAATGCTAACACCTTATTGTCAATCCATGTGATGGTAACACTGGAATCGCTCAGAGATACCTGTTTGATGATGATCAGTCAAAGAATTCCTCTGTTTTGGGGGAAGCAGTACACTTACCAAAGGAGAATCTTTAGGAGTAGACAGACAACCAATGAATATGAGACATTGTTTATTCATTCGGTTATTATGGGCTCATCTTGTCATTATTGATGGATTCAAATGTTTGACTATTTGTTTTAATTCAAAATAATGATTAGGGCAGGGGAATAGGTTGCTTTACTGTTGTTCACCAGTACTTTTCCCTTTTGGGAAACACATGGACATCCACAGCATTCAGCCAGGTAGGTGTACGTACAGTGAGACTGGAAGCACACACTGCAAATACAAAGACAGGCAAGAATTACATCACCTAAAGGTGTGTGACAGTGGCCAGGAGGATACAGAGGAATAGTGCAGACTGCTACAGGTTGAAACTGAAACTGACAGTCTGAAATATGTAGCATGCTCGCTGTGCATCTTGGCTGCTGCACTATGCAAGGTATCAGAAGATGTTAATGAAAGACTCATGACTAATGACTCCTCTGGTTGCTACTTTCAGATATTCTATCCTGAAACGACAGATGTGTACAATCGCAAAAACATGCCCAAGGTGGTGTACTGCATACACGCATTAAGGTAAGAGGGGGAGCATTCCAACACAAGGTGGGTTTTTTCTGTTTGACACTTTATATTTTGTAGGAGACCTACGTTTTTAGCTCTTCTGATGTTTGAAGAGCCCTAAAAGCATATCAATGTCTAAATGGGACTTGAGGATCATTTTGAAAAAGTTAACAATGTGTGAACCAAGAGAAGTGAAGAAGAATGGAGGAAAATGCTAAAAGATAACCTGAAACTAGTATTGTCTGTTTCAGTTTATAGTTAAAACGTGCTATTTTCAAGATTCATGAAACAAAGGGGTGGCAATATGTAGTCATTTCCCAAGCTTGCCGTTGTTTTTGTGTGTTTGTATGGATATCGTTTGCGCATGCAATGCTAGATACACCCTCGGAACCGATAGGTGACTTCCTGTATGCATTGAGTCATTTCCTGCCAACAGACTGCTTCAATCTGTAGGCTGCCTCGAGCAATTTAGTGTCTCCTTTGACAATGTTCTCTTGAGTCTACAAGAGACCGAAATGATGTCATTCTCACATAGTATCATCAGGCTCTAGAAGGAAAGCCAGATGTTTATATTGGGAGCTGAGGGTGGTAGAAGGGCCTGTCTCTCACTCAGCTTTTTCAATTAATAGCCCTATCTCCATCTTTTGATGTGAAGCCTATTTTCTTATGTGTGGACAGTGTTGACTCTGACTCCTAACTTGCAGTGAGAAGTGAAATACCTGTATTATATGAAAGAGGAACTTGAATAGGTTTTTCTGAGATCATGTTCAGAGGGATTTTACTTCACAACCTCAAGCGTTAGGCTTTCTGCTCTATATGCATCACACACATATTACATCCTATAACGTTGTTATGACAGGTTCACACATTATAGCCTATATAACGTTGTTATGGCAGGTTCACACGTTATAGCCTATATAACGTTGTTATGGCAGGTTCACACATTATAGCCTATATAACGTTGTTATGGCAGGTTCACACGTTATAGCCTATATAACGTTGTTATGGCAGGTTCACACGTTATAGCCTATATAATGTTGTTATGGCAGGTTCACACATTATAGCCTATATAACGTTGTTATGGCAGGTTCACACGTTATAGCCTATATAACGTTGTTATGGCAGGTTCACACGTTATAGCCTATATAACGTTGTTATGGCAGGTTCACACATTATAGCCTATATAACGTTGTTATGGCAGGTTCACACGTTATAGCCTATATAATGTTGTTATGGCAGGTTCACACGTTATAGCCTATATAACGTTGTTATGGCAGGTTCACACGTTATAGCCTATATAACGTTGTTATGGCAGGTTCACACGTTATAGCCTATATAACGTTGTTATGGCAGGTTCACACGTTATAGCCTATATAACGTTGTTATGACAGGTTCACACGTTATAGCCTATATAATGTTGTTATGGCAGGTTCACACGTTATAGCCTATATAACGTTGTTATGGCAGGTTCACACGTTATAGCCTATATAACGTTGTTATGGCAGGTTCACACATTATAGCCTATATAACGTTGTTATGGCAGGTTCACACATTATAGCCTATATAACGTTGTTATGACAGGTTCACACGTTATAGCCTATATAATGTTGTTATGGCAGGTTCACACGTTATAGCCTATATAATGTTGTTATGGCAGGTTCACACATTATAGCCTATATAACGTTGTTATGACAGGTTCACACGTTATAGCCTATACAGTGTCTTCAAAGTATTCACACCCCTTGACCTTTTCAACATTTTGTTGTTTTACAAAGGTGCGATTAAAATTGATTTAATTGTATTTTTTGTCAACGATTTACACTAAATACTCTAGTGGCAAAGAAAAATTCGAACATTTGATAAAAATATATGGAAAAAAAACACTATCTTGATTACATAAGTATTCAACCCCCTCAGTCAATACATGTTAGACTGACCTTTGTCAGTGATTACAGCTGTGAGTCTTTCTGGGTAAGTTTCTAAGAGCTTTGCACACCTGGATTGTACAATATTTTTACATTATTCTTTAAAGAATTCTTCAAACTCTGTCAAGTTGGTTGTTAATCATTGCTAGACAGCCATTTTCAAGTCTTGCCATCGATTTTCAAGCCGATTTAAGACAAAGCTGTAACTAGGCTACTCAGGAACATTCAATGTCGTCTTGGTAGGCAACTCCAGTGTAGATTTGGCCTTGTGTTTTAGGTTATTGTCCTGCTGAAAGGTGAATTTGTCTCCCAGTGTCTGTTGGAAAGCAGACTGAACCAGGTTTTCCTCTAGGATTTTGCCTGTACTTAGCTCTATTCCATTAATTTTTATCCTAAAAAGCTCCCTAGTCCTTGCCGATGACAAGCATACCCATAACATGATGCAGCCACCACCATGCTTGAAAATATGAAGAGTGGTACTCAGTGACGTGTTGGGTTGGATTTGCCCAAAACGTAACGCTTTGTATTCAGGACATAAAGTTAATTTCTTGTCTTTTTTTTGTGCAGTTTTACTTTAGTGCCTTATTGCAAACAGGATGCATGTTTTGGAATATTTTTATTCTGGACAGGCTTCCTTCTTTTCACTCTGTAATTTAGGTTAGTATTGTGGAGTAACTACAATGTTGTTGATCCATCCTCAGTTTTCTCCTATCACAGCCATTCAACTCTGTAACTGTTTTAAAGTCACCATTGGCCTCATGGTGAAATCCCTGGGCAGTTTCCTTCCTCTCCGGCAACGGAGTTAGGAAGGACACCTGTATCTTTGTAGTGTATCTGTATATTCAGTTTCTGCTTTTTTAAATTTTAACTATCTACTAATAGGTGCCCTTCTTTTGCGAAGCATTGGAAAACCTCCCTGGTCTTTGTGGTTGAATCTGTGTCTGAAATTCATTGCTCGACTGAGGGTCTTTACAGATAATTGTAAAGTATGTGTGGAGTACAAAGATGAGGTATTCATTCAAAAATCATGTCAAATACTATTATTGTACACAGAGTCCATGCAACTTATGTGAATTGTTAAGCGCATTTTTACATCCTGAACTTATTTAGGTTTGCCATAGCAAAGGGGTTGAATATTGACTCAAGACATTTCAGCTTTTCATTTTTTAACATTTCAAAAAACATAACTCCACTTTGACATTATGGGGTGTTGTGTGTAGGCCAGTGACACACAATCTCAATTTAATCCATTTTAAATTCAGGCTGTAACACAACAAAATGTGGAAAAAGTCAAGGGGTGTGAACTTTCTGAAGGCACTGTATAACGTTGTTATGGCAGGTTCATACATTATAGCCTATATAATGTTGTTATTACAGCTTCACACCTGTTACAGGCGTGGGTTGTCCTTGTTATTGGTCACATACACATGTTTAGCAGATGTTATTGCGGGTGTAGCGAAATGCTTTTGTTTCTAGCTCCAAAAGTGCAGTAATATCTAACAAGTAATATCTAACAATTTCACAACAATGCACACAAATCTAAAGTAAAGGAATGAAATATTTGGACGAGCAATGTCGGAGCGGCATAGACTAAAATACAGTAGAATAGAAAATAAAACAGTATATACATATGAGATGAGTAATGCAGTATGTAAACATTATTAGAGAGACTAGTGTTCCATTATTAAAGTGGCCAGTGATTTCAACTCTATGTATATAGGGCAGCAGCCTCTAACATGCTAGTGATGGCTATTTAACAGTCTGATGGCCTTGAGATAAGCTGTTTTTGTCTCTCGGTCCCAGCTTTGATGCACCTGTACTGACCTTGCCTTCTGGATGATAGCGGGGTGAACAGGCAGTGGTTCGGGTGGTTCTTGTCCTTGATTATCTTTTTGGCCTTCTTGTGACATCGGGTGCTGTAGGTGTCCTGGAGGGCAGGTAGTTTGCCCCCGGTGATGCGTTGGGCAGACCGCACCACCCTCTGGAGAGACCTGCGGTTGCGGGCGGTGCAGTTGCCGTACCAGGCAGTGATACAGCCCGACAGGATGCTCTCAATTGTGCATCTGGAAAGGTTTGTGAGGGTTTTAGGTGCCAAGCCAAATTTCTTCAGCCTCCTGAGGTTGAAGATGCGCTGTTGCCTTCTTCACCACACTGTCTGTGTGGGTGGACCATTTCAGTTTGCCAGTAATGTGTACGCAGAGGAACTTGAAGCTTTCCACCTTCTCCACTGCTGTCCCGTCGATGTGGATAGGTGGTTGCTCCCTTTGCTGTTTCCTGAAGTCCACGATTAGCTCCTTTGTTTTGTTGACGTTGAGTGAGAGGTTATTTTTCTGGCACCACACTCCTTAGATTATTATTCTAAGAGGCATAACTATTAACTTTATTCATGGCTGAAAGTGTGTTAACGGTTGTAGAAAACCCCATCAGTCACACTCACACAGCCCTCTCTAACTCCCGCTCTTTTTTCAAAGGTCATGATTGATTCATGTCCTGATTATGCACTGTGCTATCATAAACATCCCACAGGTTTGACAGAGGGCCAAGGTCCAGCAACATACTGTAACGGCTCTCTGTCCAATGCTTTTGAACACTGAATAACTGATATAACTGCATAATGTAGTAGACACACCGCTGTTAACATCTTTAGAAAATAAACAGCCTTCCCAACCTTTTTCAGTTACTGTACCACCAAGTACATTTTGCTCTGCCCGGAGTTACCTGATGTGCATTTGACCAGTAAGCCTATGGTCTCATGAGTAATCTCAAGTATCCCCTGTGGATAGGCCAAGTACCCCCAGGGGTCGAAGTACTCCTGGTTGGTAAACACTGGCCTATAAGACAGGCCAGCCTATATTGAGGTTGCATCCCAAATGGCACCCTTTCCCTATTTAGTGCACTACTTTTGACCAGGGCCCATAGGACACAGTCAGTCTCCAGTCTCACCTCAAAGCTGCTGTCATAGCATGGTAGTGGTGGTGCTAGTAGAAGTAACAGCTCTGTAGTGACACTTTGTCATTGTGTGAAGTCAATGGTGTCACTATTAGTGGGTGGTTTTTTACTGACTGGTTTCATTGACTGTCATGTATACAGTACACGTACACTGTCATGTATACAGAGAGGAGTCGTTTGTAATGTATACAGTGCTTGACTTGGACTGAAATAGGTGCTGGTATCATTTTGGGTGTCGTTACTGTTTAGGTGCAGGAACTCCACAATACTTTTAGCCAATATTTTATGAAGTGCACAAACTCAAGCAGTAGAACATTTACGGTGCCGCTATTCAGTTCCGCTGAGCTCCTGCCCAAGTCAAGCACTGCTCGTATATCCATCTGAATGTGGAAGAAAATTGGAGTGAATACGTTAGCTAGTTGGCTTGTTTTTTCTCTTTGAGCTGTTTGGTCAGGGCCCATGAGGGCAGGCTTCCTTCCCTGCCTGTGTGCACACACACGTGCTCTTCCTTCCTGGCAGGCTGGTCTAACCCCCATTGGGAGCCAGGGCAGGGAATAAACTCTAGCTCTGAGGAGAAGTAGACACACTGGGCTAGTGGGCCTTTGTTGAGAATTCAGTACAGTGGAAAAATAGAAAGGCAACACAATAGAATGGAAACGACATAATAAACCTTTGGCCTTCCCTCTGTCTTAGCAGACTCTAAACCCCTCAGGAAGACACCCGTACCCCTGTAGCCCAATCTATCATTCATGCCCACTTATCAGGAACCTGCGGGCAGATGAAAGTTTAATGCAGTTTCCAGCCACCTGTTTGTTTCACTGGAACTGACTCAGTACAGTCAGTGCAGTTGGCGTGTCAGGATTCTGACTGCTGCTTTCTCTGAGCACACATTTCCCCCCTGTGGGGAAAAGGGTGCATTGCAGTTTATTGGGCCGACTCTCCTAGCTCAATCTAGAGCAGATGGATGTTTCAAGTTCCCCTTGGGACGCATCCTTCCTTCCTCACTTCAAGTCGTCACTTATCAGACTGACATGCTTTCATAGGTGAAAGCAATATGGTGGATCCCTTGCTGACCCAAGGACAAGAGGAAGGAAAGATGCATTTCTAAAGTATTCAAGCTCGGGAAAAGTGTGGATAGATGCATATGTATAGATGCAGATGTTAGTAAATTATGTTTCCCCAGCCTCTGAGTTGTTGAATAAACATAGCCACATCTTATCCACCACTTTAGTACGCTTTCTTCCTAACCATTCAATCTAGGTTAAAGTTCTGAGAGCTTCATACCTTTCCATCCCTCGACCCCAGGGAGTTATTCTCCAGGATATTTGACGCAAAACCTGACTAGAAGTAGCTCTGTAACATAACCTTGTATTTTATTCCAGCTTATACCTGTACAAACTGGGCATTGCACCACAGATCCAGGACCTGCTGGGGAAAGTGGCCTTCACAGGTAAGAAAGACCAGGCTACAGTAGCATTTTACCGTAGCGTTTTACCAGGATATACTAGTGTTTTACAAGGCTACAGTAGCATTTGATCCACCAGCTCTTCTATTCCAGCATGATAATTAGAGATCTCATAAGAGTCATAGCTTGAGTTCACCCTGTACTTTAAATCAACACATAGTGTTCTTCTCTATCTGGCACCAGCCAGGTTTTGATTGAATGCTGGGTGCTTGAACCCATAGGAACAATTGCTGTAGGAACTTGCAAGTAAGCATTTCGTTGGACAGTGTATACCATGTGTATCCCGTACATACAACTAATACAACTTGAAACTAGTGTGTAGTGGTTCTACAGTATAATGAGCTTCCTGCTCCAGAATGAACACTAACATACATCGTTGTAGTGAAGGAGGAACTGCTGTAGTAATTACTACCTCTCTTTGAAACTTAAGGAAAACATGAAGACTTGCTTGCGGAAGTGTGTGTGATTAGAGCCTCCCGGGGGGTGGTAATGACAGATAATTGGTGCTCTTGTTTGGCTTTGATTGAAACAGAATGTCATCACTCGCACCTAGCTGCGTGTTCAATTCGATAAGCACTGTGGAGATCAGTATGATATACTGTGGTTGATATGAGTGAAGTGGGAAGGACCAACCACATGTCTTATCTGGATGAATATCTGCAACATAACACTTACTCATAATAAACCACTTTAACCTTTATCGATTGCTATCACTGACTGAAGTAATTCACTTCAACGCCATAAAAAATAAAGTGCACATTTCACCGACGAGGATTAAAACAATACCGGGTGTATGTGTATACAGAGAAGGAGAGATACACTGAGTGTACAAAACATTAGGAACACCTTCCTAATATTGAGTTGCACCCCGTTTTGCCCTCAGAACAGTCTCAATTCGTCAGGGCATAGACTCTACGAGGTGTCGAAAGCTTTCCACTGGGATTCTGGCCCATGTTGACTCCAATGCTTCCCATAGTTGTCAAGTTGGCTGGATGTCCTTTGGGTGGTGAACCATTCTTGATACACACAGGAAACTGTTAAGCGTGAAAAACCCAGCAGCGTTGCAGTTCTTGACACTCAAACCTGTGCACCTGGCACCTACTACCATACCCCGTTCAAAGGCACTTAATTATTTTGTCTTGCCCATTCCCCTCTGAATGGCACACATACACAATCCATGTCTCAATTATCTCTAGGCTTAAAAATCCTTCTTTAACCTGTCTCCTCCCCTTAATCTGTACTGATTGAAGTGGATTTAACAGGTGACATCAATAAGGGATCATAGCTTTCACCTGGTCAGTCTATGTCATGGAAAGAGCAGCTGTTCCTAATGTTTTGTACACTCAGTGTATGTTATATGAAAAGGTGGACAATATCAAAGCACTGTAGGCTAATATGACTGAGATGCATATGCCAGTCATGCAAGCATAAGTCATGTATTGACGACAATCCATACTGTGAATACCAGCTTGCTAAAACAACTTATTGTTTTGCAATTTTTCCAAAGCATCTATAAGTTGCCAGTGAATAAGCAGGTCCCTCTCCTAGGGGTGTCGAGGTTTCCTGCTGTGCCAGTGTGCTTGTAATGTGTTCCTGTCTGTCCCACAGAGGAGGAGATCAGTAACATGCGGAGTGAGCTGGAGAAGTACGGCATCCAGATGCCAACCTTCAGCAAGATAGGAGGCATCCTGGCCAACGAGCTCTCGGTGGACGAGGCAACCTGTGAGTAGTACAGTACACTGTTCCATCCACTGGATGAACTCTGTCTTCTATCCTGATCCTGGAGAGACCCATAGGGTGTGCAGGGTTTGGCTCCAGCCCAGCACTAAAACACCAGATTCAACTAATCCAGCCATTGATGATTAGCAGATTAGTTGAATCAGGTGTGTTAGTGCTGGGCTATAACAAAAGTCTGGCCTCTCATAGATAGACAGACAGACAGACAGACATGTTTACTGCTGAGTGGTACTCATTCTTGCTGGTGTCCCTCCCAAGTGCACGCTGCTGTGTTTGCCATCAATGAGGCGGTGGATAAGGGTGAGGCGGCTGTGACCATGGGGTCATTGAGGAACCCCAACGCTATGCTGAGGAACACTGGGGAAGAGCTGGCCCAGGACTACCAGGACACTCTGAGCCGGGCCAAGGCCAGCAAGGAGCTCCAGGCCTCAGGCAGGGTGAGGAACTCCCAGACCCTCCCTGATGTTGCTCTTTCCACTGAAATGGCATCCTATTCCCTTTTGTAGAGCACTGCTTTTGACCAGAGACCTATGGGTCCTGAGTCCGGGTAGAAGTTTCAAAACTGACCTTGGATCAGCAACTTGATCCTGTTCTGAACCTAAAGAGGTATTGAGAGTTAGTAGCATACTGTAGGAGTCTTGTCTGCAGTGAATACCACCTGAAACACTCAGCAGCCCTTGCCATGACATTCCAGTGGCTGCAGCATAAGCTGAACTCTCACTACAACACTAGTCTTCCCACACCAACTAGCATCTCTCCTCCCATACTCCTCACTAACTCTGTGTAAATATGACCCGCTGTGTTAAATTACAAATTATTTCAGCAAAGTCATGATCTTAAATCTAAAGTTAATATGATGGCCAGATTGTCAACAATTTGAGCATGACAGTGTGTTTAGTTTCAATCACAGGTGGCCGGTGGCACCTTCATTGGGGAGGACGGGCTCATAGTAATGACTGGAATGGAATCCATGGAATTGTATCAAACACATCAAAGACATGGTTTCCATGTGTTTGATACCATTCACTCCATTCCAGTCATTATTATGAGCTGTTCTCCCCTCAGCAGCCTCCTGTGGTTTCAGTATGCACAAAATGTAAAAACCTTGAGAATGTATGTTTATAGTCCATCTAACACAATGCTTTTTCTCTTGTCTCCCTGCTCAGTGCTCGTCCATAGCCACAGAGGAGAGAGATGTTTATGAGGAGCTGCTGACCCAGCAGGAGATCCAGAGCTGCGTCGACCTTGTTAACAGTAACTACGGTCCCTGTCTTATGACCTCAATAAGTTGTGTTCTGAACATCTAGGATAGGCCTTCAGGATGTGACTGGTAGATCTTCTACCTTTTCCACAGCCAGTTTGAAATCTCATGTCAAAAAAGGTTGGGCACCCCTTGTCTAAAGGTAGTGGCTGAGGGTTGATTTATTTGGGATGTGTCCCGTGTCTGTCTCCATCCAACCCCTGGTCCCTCCTGTCTGTCTCTCCAGCCCAGGGAGCGGTGCAGCAGGTGAACCAGGCCATCTCTGCCCAGGACGAGGCTGCTCTGCTAGTTGGGCTCAAGGTGCTGGCCCTGGGGCTGCTGGGGGTCCAGGAGGCCAACTCTCACTGGTACCTGGAGCACTTCACCTCCTACTGCCAAGTCAAGTCTCGGGTCAGTAAGGCCAGTGGTCAAATGGTGGAAGCACGTCTAGTAGAGTGGCGCAGTGGTCTAAGGCACTGCATCGCCGTGCTAGCTGTGCCACTAGAGATCCTGGTTCGAGTCCAGGCTCTGTCGCAGCCGGCCGCGACCGGGAGACCCATGGGCGGCGCACAATTGGTCCAGCGTCGTCCAAGGTAGGGGAGGGTTTGGCCGGCAGGGATGTGGGTTTGTTTCCCACGGGGGGCCAGTATGGGGAAAAAAAACAAAAAAAAACATGTATGCATTCACTAACTGTAAGTCGCTCTGGATAAGAGCGTCTGCTAAATGACTAAAATGTAAATGTAAAATGTAGTAGGTTGGCTATGGCTGTGGGCTTACACTAGTTCATTTAGCAGACAAGATTTGCTTAGAATTCCATGGCATTATTTTATATTATTTTATAGTATGAAGAATACAATTGAACATAGCTGAATAAAAGAGAAAAGGATGTTTTCTCCAAACGGTTTCTGAGGGAGTGCGTACATGCGGCAATTCTGTGTTGAGCGGTTAACAAAAAACAGGTCCTCCTATATGCTTAATTTAGAGTTATTTATACAACTTTAGTTGTGATACAAACATTGGGCTATATGTTTTGATTTTTAATACATTCTAAGGCTGCATGATGCAACTCTAATGATGATTTGAAAAAAGTAGCATGAAAGGCATGAGCTCTGCTTTGTTTCTTGCGCAGGCTGCACACACTTCATCTATCATTCACAATTTGACAAGCACTTGATAATGGCTAGAATTTTCCGGTGACATCCCTCTTGTTTGGCCGTAATGCCCCCTAGAAAATCCATGCCTTTTGCGGCCAGTGGCCGCTGTGCCCTTGGCCTGAATATAATCATTATGATTCCCTTCTCCCGGCTGCGTGCTCCGAAGCACCTCTCACTCATATGGCTCTCTCAGATATCTCAATTCTTATTAGCCAATGCCCGTCACGTGATCGGTTCCTTCTCACAGGCATCTCAGCTCCGAAGTAGGCTACAAGTGAAGACCGACACATCGGGGACAGTTGTGGGATGCGATAGATCCCAAATTAATACAACCACTCGCATCAAAAAACCTTTTAAAAGCATTTACATTTTACATTTTTAATCATTTCGCAGACGCTCTTATCCAGAGCGACTTACAGTTAGTTAGCATTGAGGCTGATCAGAACGTTGAGCTTAAAATGTTGATAAACTATTCGGCTATTTCTTCACATTATAAGTGCAGCAATGCGCACACGGCAGTAGGCTATAAGCGCAAATGTTCTAAAATGCAATCAATTAGTGGGAAAATACCATTCTCATAAGGGACTGTAAATGCGATTATGCTTGTAATGCTTTATTATAAAGGTTAATTTTTATGGGGAAAATTATCTTCCCCAAACTTGAAACTCACGCCCCGCTTATGTATGCCAGTTAGACTCTACACCGGTTGTAAAGCAGATTAATGTGCTTAATTTTAAGAAGTTATTTGTCTACTTTCGTTGTGATACAACCCTTATCAAAACATATAGGCCTATGGACTAGGCTACATGAGGTGTAAAAAAAAAAGTATTTTGAAAAAGTCGCAAAAAAATGCATGCGCTGTTACTGACCTTACTGCACACAAGCTGGGCATCATTCACAAGTGGTAGCCTATCACTTGGAATGATATATTAGTATTGTCACCCATCAGACTATTCTTGATTTAATCTTGTCTTTACATATATTATCTAGAATATGTGTGAAATTAGTTTTGATTTTGAATGGACTATAATCATGCACCTGTCTCGGAACAGGGGCAGGGAAAAAAATACATGTAATCTATGCACTTAAATAGTGAATGGAGGACGCTTTTCCCCATGGTTCATTTTCATACCAGTAAGGTAGGCTATACTCCTGTTGTAAAGCGAAGCAATGTGCTTAATATTAGGAAAGTTGAAAAATAAATATAGTAGGCCTAGCCTATAGAAAGCTGATCCTCCTCTTTTAAATAGTGGCCATCAAAACTCTGTTTTCTCACGCAATTGCATAGCCTATAGAAATGTTGCGCAACATGACCTCATGGGCTCTCATGAAGTGTTTGATTTGATTTTCGATTACATTTGCATTGATGTCAGAGTGATTAGAGGGACAATAGAGTGCTGAGTACCAGGCAGTTAGCAAGTTTGGTAGGCTACTAATGACCATCATCAGCCTGAGCTTGGAGAAGCCTAGTTATCGTGACTAAACGGACATGTGGAATTTGACTACATCATGGCTCGTGACCGCTGGTGTGGCGGTAATACGGTCACCGTAACAGCCCTAGTAGGGGAGATGAGGTATCTCATAAAATAAATGAGAATGCCTATACACTGTGTTTTTGCCTTTAAGAGCGTAAGATGGCGGTCTTAATTCATTGCTTCAAGTTGCATTAGTGTTACAGAACCCAGATTTTTTCTATTGAGTTGAACTTGTCACCCAAACACTTTCTCCGTGGACCTCAGGACACTGGAGGTGCAGTGATGCTGGAGAGGGAGGAGATTCAGAGGGTGGTCATATCCTGTAACGACTTTGCTGAGGCAGAGAAACTAAGTAAGCACCCCTCACCATCCATCACTCTCCTTTTGTAATATTCCCCAGTGTTTCTAGGTTCAGTGTTTGATATTTTTGCTACGCAGAACTGGAGGCCATTACAGCGATCAACTCGGCCATTCGTCATGGTGTAGCAGCAGAGACTATAGAGGAGCTGATGAACCCAGAGGCCCAGCTCCCCATAGTCTACCATACCGCTGCCAACCTCTACCAGACCGAACTGTTCAGCCTGCAGTTACAGGGGGCAAAGGTGCCACACACACACATTACACTTTCCTTATTTTAAGATACAATATAATGTTGTACAGTTGTGAGTGGGTGCTGGTTGTCAGACCAAAGTAGTGCAAGTTTCCCCTAGCTAGGTTGGCCAGTGGGCAGACAGTTGTGTGTGTCTGGTTGTATGTCCAGTATATGATCACTAATCTCTGTCTGGTTGTATCTAACAGGCAGGCCTGGGGCATGAGGAGCTGTCTGTTGCGGTGGAGATGCTGTCTGCGGTGGCCGTGCTTAACGAGGTCCTGGACACCAAGGACCCCCAGGCTGTCACTGAGCAGCTGACTGACTCCCCTCTGGGCTTCAGCAACATGGACCACGACAACCTGCACAGGTAGCTAAAACCACAACCTGCACAGGTAGCTAAAACCACAACCTGCACAGGTAGCTAAAACCACAACCTGCACAGGTAGCTAAAACCACTACCTGCACAGGTAGCTAAAACCACTACCTGCACAGGTAGCTAAAACCATTACCTGCACAGGTAGCTAAAACCACTACCTGCACAGGTAGCTTTAAACCTCAACCTGCACAGGTAGCTAACACCACAACCTGCACAGGTAGCTAACACCACAACTATCTGTCATATCACAGGTAACCCCACAACCATCTACCCTTTTGTCCCTCTAGTGGAAACTCTCTCCACAGCTCACCACAGTTGCACACAGATAACACCTAGAACTGTCTTTCTGCCTGATGTGTAACCTCCCCTGGCCTTCCCCCTCTCTCCTCTCCCTTTCTCCTCTCCCCCTTTCCCCTCCCCCCTCTCGCTCTCTCCTCTTCCCTCTCTTCCTCTTTTCCCTTCTTCCTCTCTCCCCCTCTCCCCCTGTCTCTCAGGTACGCAGACACTCTGATCAGCCTCAGAGCCGACAGTCTGTCCCGCTGGCTGGAGTTCCTCACCTGGAATGATGTTCAGAAGACTATCGACACGGTCAACCTGCAGGTGCACGAGGAACACGAGCGTAGGTCACAACCTCTAACTGTTTCAACACTGGGTGCATCCCAAATCCAAACCTATTCCCTATTTAGTGCACTATTTTGACCAGGGCCCATAGGGGATAGGGTGCCAAGTCCAACCATTTCTCTAAGGCGGGTAGAATAGTCTGCAGTCTCGAATAAATAAATCCACACACTCTAAATCTGAAATGTACATGATGAAGTAGTACTGAGTTCAGTGTCATTAGTATTGTTCACCTGCTGCTCCCCTGACTGTCGGTGTCACTATATGTGCTGTCTGTCTCATCCCCCCTCTAGGTATTATTGCTATATCTGAGATCAACGAGGCACTGAGCTCTGGTGACCCTAACCAGACCCTCTCTGCCCTGCTCCTGCCCACGGCCAAACTGCAGGGAGTCAACCCAGCCACAGCCAAACACTACCACGACGTCCTGCAGAACACCAAGCTACTCATCTGCAAGGTATTGTACTGCCAGCCATTATGAGAGCATATATACACTGAGTGTACAAAACATGGATTGTGTATGTGTGCCACTCAGAGGGTGAATGGGCAAGACAAAATATTTAAGTGCCTTTGAATGGGGAATGATAGTAGGTGCCAGGCTCACCGGTTTATGTGTCAAGAACTGCAATGCTGCTGGGTTTTTCAAGCTCAACAGTTTTCCGTGTATCAAGAATGGTCCATCACCCAAATGACATCCAACCAACTTGACACAACTGTGGAAAGAATTGGAGTCAACATGGGCCAGCATTCCTCTGGAACACTTTCGACACCTTGTAGAATCCATGCCCTGATGAACTGAGGCTGTTCTGATGGTAAAAGAGGGTGCAACTCAATATTAGGAAGGTGTTCCTAATGTTTTGTACACTCAGTCTATATTCCCTCAAGAGCAGAGAAGCCTTCATCTTCATACATTTCATGGACAGAGTGCTACTCAAGAGGCTTGGGATCACAGCTGTTGATCAGATCTTACAGATCTAGGTAGCCCTATTCGCTATATAGTGCATTACTTTTGACCAGCGCCCAGTGCTCTGGTCAAAAGTAGTGCACTATATAGGGAATATGGTGCCATTTGGGACGCACACTAGATCTGTAACCTAGACTTAATAAGCGGGAGGGAGAGTGCCTGAGACATGAATGAGATGGTCAGTGATTAATGGGAGCATGCTGAAACAGGTCTGTCTGGAGCACAGGTATGAACCTGCCCTCACCTTTATCTAAACCCTGCTCCTTCTATGTGAAGTCTACATCTATCAATGTGGAAAATGTTTAATACTCAGTAAAATGGGAATTAACTAACAAATGAATGTATGGGAATAGGCCTACATGAATACACTTCATTTGTATTGGAAGGGTGTTATTTACAAGTTGGCATTGTGAACAAGACATAACAGTACATGAAGGTAATCATGTCCTTTTTGGCTCCAACACTGTCTGGTTTCTGAACATCCTCTGGGATAATTGTTTTTGTCATCACTGTTGACGTCAGCTGGCTTTTCAGGACATCCTTGCTGATAAAGTACACACATTAAACCATCAATACTAGAATGGACATGAACCTTCTATGAAGGTATAAATGGTCAGCCATTTTGGTAAGCCATCGGTCAGCCAGTGCTGTGATAAGATATTGTGTATGATTTTCAAGTTTATCTGCACAGTATGTTTGTTAGCTAGCTAGCCAGACATTTTAAGTGTAATGATTCTTTGCCAACATTCCATACAAACAATGCAGTCAATCCACAGCCATACACTGGCTGAAATCAGTTGATGATAGGACTTAGACAAGTTGTTAATGCAACAAGTACTGTATCATATTATAACACTTTCCAAGAAAGAAAAAAACTGTTTACATAGATTTTAGAGGCTATTTATACAGAAAATAGGTATAAAACCTGTGGAAACTGTTTACGATTATATGAAAATATTTTAGATTGACAATTCTATTACACAATTTCTGATAACATGTGCCTGACTTTTTTCCCCCTGTATAAGTAAAAGCAGAAAATGTGTAACCTATGCCTGTACTGTACAGAATGGGTGGCAAGAAATAAGTTATTCCCAAATATTTCAAAAACTAAAAGCATTGTATTTGGGACAAATCATTCACTAAACCCTAAACCTCTCCTGAGTGGCGCAGTGGTCTAAGGCACTGCATCGCAGTGCTAACTGTGCCACTAGAGATCCTGGTTAGAATCCAGGCTCTGTCGCAGCAGGCCGCGACCGGGAGACTCATGGGCGGCGCACAATTGGCCCAGCGTCGTCCAGGGTAGGGGAGGGAATGGCCGGCAGGGATGTAGCTCAGTTGATAGAGGATTGCGTTTGCAACGCCAGGGTTGTGGGTTCGATTCCCATGGGGGGCCAGTATAAAAAAATAATGAAAAAAAATAAAATAAAAAATTGTATTCACTAACTGTAAGTCGCTCTGGATAAGAGCGTCTGCTAAATGTAAAATGTAACTAAATCTTGTAATGAATAATGTGGAAATGTACAGTGGGGAAAAAAAGTATTTAGTCAGCCACCAATTGTGCAAGTTCTCCCACTTAAAAAGATGAGAGAGGCCTGTAATTTTCATCATAGGTACACGTCAACTATGACAGACAAATTGAGAGAAAAAAATCCAGAAAACACATTTATTTGCAAATTATGGTGGAAAATAAGTATTTGGTCACCTACAAACAAGCAAGATTTCTGGCTCTCACAGACCTGTAACTTCTTCTTTAAGAGGCTCCTCTGTCCTCCACTCGTTACCTGTATTAATGGCACCTGTTTGAACTTATCAGTATAAAAGACACCTGTCCACAACCTCAAACAGTCACACTCCAAACTCCACTATGGCCAAGACCAAAGAGCTGTCAAAGGACACCAGAAACAAAATTGTAGACCTGCACCAGGCTGGGAAGACTGAATCTGCAATAGGTAAGCAGCTTGGTTTGAAGAAATCAACTGTGGGAGCAATTATTAGGAAATGGAAGACATACAAGATCACTGATAATCTCCCTCGATCTGGGGCTCCACGCAAGATCGCACCCCGTGGGGTCAAAATGATCACAAGAACGGTGAGCAAAAATCCCAGAACCAGACGGGGGGACCTTGTGAATGACCTGCAGAGAGCTGGGACCAAAGTAACAAAGCCTACCATCAGTAACACACTACGCCGCCAGGGACTCAAATCCTGCAGTGCTAGACGTGTCCCCCTGCTTAAGCCAGTACATGTCCAGGCCCGTCTGAAGTTTGCTAGAGTGCATTTGGATGATCCAGAAGAGGATTGGGAGAATGTCATATGGTCAGATGAAACCAAAATAGAACTTTTTGGTAAAAACTCAACTCGTTGTGTTTGGAGGACAAAGAATGCTGAGTTGCATCCAAAGAATACCATACCTACTGTGAAGCATGGGGGTGGAAACATCATGCTTTGGGGCTGTTTTTCTGCAAAGGGACCAGGACGACTGATCCGTGTAAAGGAAAGAATGAATGGGGCCATGTATCGTGAGATTTTGAGTGAAAACCTCCTTCCATCAGCAAGGGCATTGAAGATGAAACGTGGCTGGGTCTTTCAGCATGACAATGATCCCAAACACACCGCCCGGGCAACGAAGGAGTGGCTTCGTAAGAAGCATTTCAAGGTCCTGGAGTGGCCTAGCCAGTCTCCAGATCTCAACCCCATAGAAAATCTTTGGAGGGAGTTGAAAGTCTGTGTTGCCCAGCGACAGCCCCAAAACATCACTGCTCTAGAGGAGATCTGCATGGAGGAATGGGCCAAAATACCAGCAACAGTGTGTGAAAACCTTGTGAAGACTTACAGAAAACGTTTGACCTGTGTCATTGCCAACAAAGGGTATATAACAAATTATTGAGAAACTTTTGTTATTGACCAAATACTTATTTTCCACCATAATTTGCAAATAAATTCATTAAAAATCCTACAATGTGATTTTCTGGATTTCTTTTTAAGTGGGAGAACTTGCACAATTGGTGGCTGACTAAATACTTTTTTTCCCCACTGTATATGCAATATCTAAATCTGGCTTCTCTACAGCCTGTGCATGATGAATCAACGCTCAGGGTGGGGACAGACCCATCTCAGTATGGAGCGCAGTTCACAATGCATGTAGACCTATCATCTCAGTATGGGAACTTTTTTTCTTGTGACATGTAGGCCTACATTTGCTGCAGCATAACCTATGCTACAGTAATATAAAGACAGAATGCCCCTCTAATTTACCCATCTCCATCTGGCTTTCGGGGGTCACCTTGTTTTTTAATTGTAAAGATTATTTGATTTTTATTGCAGCTGCAGAGTTTTAAAACAGCCTATCACTTGAATATTGTTGCTTTAAATCGGTGCACGCAAGAGCATTCTTTCTCTCTCTCCATCAACTCCATTTAAATGTAATCCAAAATAGATGATCCTGTTCTAGATTGATATATAGCCCTATATATATGTCCTAGCCTACCTCTTTCAGGTAATACATTCAATGCAGTTTTAGCCTTATATTTAGCCTATTAAGGATGGATTATGCATAATAAGCTTCTAATTTATAGCCTCTGTCTCTTGCGCAATACGCAAGCACCTGTGCTCCGCTGGCCTCTCCTTAAAAAAACGCTCCTTAGCTCATGGATTCCCATGCAGGAAAAGCTAGACTAGAATAGCTTGCTGGACATTATTAAATTTTTTGCATTTCTTATACCAATAGACTATTCGAAGAGGGACGCAAGCTCTTTTTTGCTGAATGTTAAATACAGCAGCCAATAAAACTCACGGGTAGTTTGAAAGAAGAGCGAACGCATGATGGCGGTAGGCTATAGCAGTTATTTAACCATTCAATCTTCGTGAAGAGAAGTGAAATCCTTTTGCATTTAACTCTAGTTCTATATTATTCAAGGATGTCATTAGAATGATGAAGATAAGGACAACAAAACTTTATTTCATTTAACTGTTGAAAGTGAGGAAGGAATGAAGCAACAATAGAGAGCGAAAGAGCACGTAGGCTAATAACATTAGGGGAAATATTATGAAAGGTATACACTACCGTTCAAAAGTTTGGGGTCACTTAGAAATGTCCTTGTTTTTGAAAGAAAAGCAATTTTTTTGTCCATTTAAAATAACATCAAATTGATCAGAAATAAAGTGTAGACATTGTTAATGTTGTAAATGGCTATTGTAGCTGGAAACGGCTGATTAAAAAAAAAAAAAAAAGGAATATCTACATAGGCGTACAGAGGCCCATTATCAGCAACCAACAGTCCTGTGTTCCAACGGCACGTTGTGTTTGCTAATCCAAGTTTATCATTTTAAAAGGCTAATTGATCATTAGAAAACCCTTTTGCAATTATGTAGGCAAAGTCATATCTCAGACTGCCCATCTTAATCTTTTATTTTTATTGGCCAGTCTGAGTTATGGCTTTGTCTTTGCAACTCTGCCTAAAAGGTCAGCATCCCGGAGTCGCCTCTTCACTGTTGACGTTGAGACTGGTGTTTTGCGGGTACTATTTAATGAAGCTGCCAGTTGAGGACCTGTGAGGCGCCTGTTTCTCAAACTAGACATTCTAATGTATTTGTCCTCTTGCTCAGTTGTGCACCGGGGCCTCCCACTCCTCTTTCTATTCTGGTTAGAGACAGTTTGTGCTGTTCTGTGAAGGGAGTAGTACACAGCGTTGTATGAGATCTTCAGTTTCTTGGCAATTTCTCGCATAGAATAGCCTTCATTTCTCAGAACAAGAATAGACTGATGAGTTTCAGAAAAAAGTTTTGTTTCTGCCCATTTTGAGCCTGTAATCGAACCCACAATTGCTGATGCTCCAGATATTCAACTAGTCTCAAGAAGGCCAGTTGTATTGCTTCTTTAATCAGCACAACAGTTTTCAGCTGTGCTAACATAATTACAAAAGGGTTTTCTAATGATCAATTAGCCTTTTAAAATGATAAACTTGGATTAGCAAGCACAACGTGCCATTGGAACCCAGGACTGATGGTTGCTGATAATGGGCCTCTGTACGCCTATGTAGATATTCCATAAAAAATCAGCCATTTCCAGCTACAATAGCCATTTATAACATTAACAATGTCTACACTGTATTTCTGATCAATTTGATGTTATTTTAATGGACAAAAAATTAGCTTTTCTTTCGAAAACAAGGACATTTCTAAGTGACCCCAAACTTTTGAACAGTAGTGTTTATGCATCAGCCTCTACTAATTATACAAATAGGCCGTATTATATTTCAAAATCAAATTCACTAGCCTATACTTGTAACTTTGTAGGCCACATGTGCTGCACCAGAATCGCATGTTCTCTGCTGCTTTATCGTGTTTTGAACGATGTGCATAATTCCAGTGCATATAATACAGTACAGTAATACAGTTCACACTCAAAAATATTAGCCTACTGGAGCTATTTCATTTATTTACCCAAGAGAGCATATAGCGAGCTACATCTATGGGCTTATATCATATAGTATATGTATTGTATAACGGCACAATCATTTGGGCTTTTTTGGGCTTGGGCTCATTAAATGTTGTTAATGTGGGGCTCATAAAATGTATTTAATATATGGCTCATCAGGCTTTATAATGCTTTTGAATGACACTTCAGGTTTTGGCAGGAAATACCGGGTTACCCGGGAGAAAATGATTTATTTTCAGGATGGAACATTTGTAAAATACCGGGAAAGTATTCAACCATAATAAGCAACATGTAAATGGAGCCTTTTTTTGCTGGCGGGCTATGAGAACTCCCCCATGTTGTGTTCTGATTACAAGAAGAACTGTTCCCTGTTCACATCTTTATAGCATATTGTTCCAACAGCTTCCCTGCCTATTTATATTCAGTAGTTTGCTTGTACCCTCTCTGGGCTCCCCCACTGCGCTCTGACAATGGTAGTCCTGGGGGAAGGTACAGTGGACACACACACACACAGCGTCTCTACACCAGAACAGCAGGTCTCTGAGTTGGCGAAGCGTAGTCTGGAGGCGGTTGTCCTGGACATGAGCACACACAGGAAGGGGTCCAGACAGCTGTGGAAGCAGCACAGACACACTGCAGCACTGGAGTACACATACATCCCGTCCTCTCCACTTGTGGACAGCCTCACATAGTGGGCAATATGGAGGATGCCACTGGGAGCGAAACACACAGTGAAGATGAGGAAGACCAGTGTACTGACCCTGATGAAAGGTGTCCAGTCGAGGCCTGAGCGACCCAGGTGCCACACCACCGCCACATGGGTCCAGACACAGGTCACAAATGGCACAAGGAACCCTAAACAGACCAGTGCCAGCCTGTAGGGAACCAGCAGGGCATGGGAGTCCTCCTCCAGGGGCAGTATGTCATGGCAGGTGATGAGGCCCATACGGGGCAGCAGGAAGCTCTGCCTCACCAGGAGCTCTGGTACCACAGCTGCTCCAAACAGGCCCCACACACCCAGGCTTGCCCCCAGCGCCCAGGCCTTCTTGGGCAGCCGACTGTAGAGGAAGGGCCTCACAACGGCCAGGTAGCGCTTAAGGCTGACGCACGCAATGGTGTGGGCAGAGCAGTAGACGTTGCCGTAGAAACAGGCGGTGATGACGCGGCAGGCCGCCTCGCCAAACACCCAGTTGTTTCCGTTGAGGTGGTAGTGGATGCGGAGGGCCAGGGAGAGCAGGAGGAGCAGGTCGGAGAGGGCCAGGCTCAGGTAGAAGACAGCCGTGGAGTAGGACCTGACCCGGAGCCTCAGGAAGGCCAGGATGAAAGCGTTGGAGGGGACGCCCACTGCCATGGCTAGGAGGTAGGCTGAGGGGATGAGCCTGGTGCTGAGGAGCCCCGTGGTGTAGGTTGCTGCAGGGTCCTCCAGCCTCACGTCCAGCCCAGGGGCCCCAGGGGACAGCAGGACCTGGTTGGGGGGCCCTGCCTCAGCTGTACAGTTGGACTGGTATCTCCTGCCGTTGAACGTCTTTGGTTTCAACACATCTGGGACCGTTATTTTTGTCTTGTTGAGTTTCTCCTCTGTTTGTGGAAAAATAGGGGGAATAACATTTCCATAGATCTTAATTCAGTTTTACACTTTGAATACATAGCGATGAAACACAGTATAAAATTGAAATGTTGTTTTAAAGTTAGTTGTCTCAAAATTCTGTTTTAAAACATGTATGATGATTTAGACAATTCATTCAAGAATGTGACCAAATGTGACAGTATACTGGGGGAAGAGGGAATCTTCATGTGTATTGTCAAGCTGAATACTTTCTGCCAAACATTTTGTTAGAGAAAACATGTCTTGTTTTCCTGTTGGAGTGGAAACGGAACTGTTCAACCCAGCCTGAAGAACTGACAAACAGCTTTACCAAGTGGATAGAAAGTCCCAAATGTAATATGAGTTCCCGAGGTTAAGGTTCTTAGAGATTCTATAAAATCCTAAGGAGAAATGTAAAAAGAAATGAACTTACCATTGTCCTGGAGAGACAGTCCTACCAACAGACAGAAGAGTTTCCCAGACAGTAGGTTTGCCATGTCTTTCTCCTATCTCCTCCACGTGATTATCCCTGTATTATTCCAACTAAAAGTCCTCTAGTTCTTCAGTAGACCTGCTATAGGCTAGTTGTCTACTAGCAGGATCAACAACTAGTAGGATCATCTGGCCATCCAGACTGCTGGTTCATATGGTCAGACAGGCTACTGTGCTGTAAGTCCACACTCCGATAGTGTTAACACTGAACCATGAGGCTGTATGCATTTTGTGTGTGTATAGTGTTTTTCCTGTCCAGGCTTGAAACTGAATTCCTGATCTCTGTGTCAGCCGCTATTTGCTGATTTGTTGTAGTGGGAGAAGGTATCCGCTATTTGCTGATTCGTTGTAGTGGGAGGAGACACCCTAATAGTTTACAGTTTGTTCATTTCTCACTTTGGTTTTATCCCTTGGTGTTCTATTATGCCATTCCCAGGAAGACCCTCAGCTGTTTCAATGTTATGGGTTTATTGTGACTGAAGATCTTCTTGACTAATAAAAAATGACTAGCCTAATGTTAGAGGAACAAGATTGACTCGTGTTAAACTTAAGTCACAAGATTGACAGCTTGGGTAACATCAAACAAACTGTTGGGTTTTAAGCATCCTACTTCTCCAAAGTTCCTGGAACAGTTTCCATTAACCTAGTTTGACCTTCAATTTGCCACTTAAGTCACACACATTTTGATTACACATTATTGGAAACTATAATTTTCAAGTTAGAAGGTATGGAAAAATATGTTCCTATTCAGTTTCGGTCTTCATTTTTGTGCTTGTATGTACATTATTTGCATGTCCTAAAGCTATTAATATACTGTACGTTCAGGGGGGAATTTTCTGGTCAAAATCAGATCCACTTCATGGCAGAAACCAAGGGGGCGTGTTTTCTCTTTACTTCCTTCCTGCCTTTTTGTGTGGTTGGGGAGAATAAACATTCAGTGAGGTTTCTCTGCTATTTTAGGTGGTGTTTGTGTTTGAGCCCCCACGACCAATGTTGTGGACTGAGCTGAAGATGTGTTGGCCACTAACTAACAATCAGTGTTTTAACATTTTCCCTCAGGTCTTACCTCTGGACACAGAGGAAATGGTAGAGCTTCTTGTTCATGCTGGCGCTGTTTTCATAGCTGTTAATATGCTTCATACCTGGGTTTCAAATACTTGAAAAATCTTTACAAATACTTTATCTGTGCCTGTTTGAGCTTGCATGGCTTAATAAACCAATAGAGAAGACCCGGAAATGCTAACCCTGTCCATTTGGCACTCTAGACAGACTCAAGCCTGGAGTGCTCAAACTATTTGAAATGATTTTGTATTTGAACCCAGGTATTATTTATTTTCTTTGTTGCTTTGAAATACCATGTACAACAACTGTACATGTGCTGTCTTGGTTAGTGCTTGGAAAAATAACATTCAGTTAGGGCTCAATCCTAACTTGAGATCTGTGGTCCTAGCTCAAGCGCTAAAATTACAAGAAAGTTATAATTATGTGTGAACATCTCAAGCTAGAATTTGGCATTGCATTGTGTAGATTGTCAATGTTTTTGTTTGTGTGGTCTACCACTCTGAAAAGTAGAGATTGACTCTCTGTATGTGTCTGTGACTCCAGAGCTCGGGGGATGAGTCTGCTGTGTTGTGGCTCAACCAGATCCAAGAAGGCATACACACAGCCAACCAAGATGAAGAGGAAGCTCTCACATGTAGGCACACCATGCTCACTCACGACCATATGTTCGAAAACCATGAACAAATAATATCTTAGAAGTTCTTCACATCACCATTCAAATGTCATAACTTGAACCACTGGATAAGAGCGTCTGTTAAATGACCAAAATGTAAAATGTCATAACTGTTCCTGTGTGTGTTTCGTCTGTGGCAGTGGCTGGAGCAGTGGCAGACATCAACAGGGAGGTGGCGGAGGGGGACTCCCAGACCACCCTGCAGGCCCTCCAATCACCCCTTGCAGGGCTGAGAGGGGTTCTGTCTGAGTGTGCAGACACCTACCAGACACAGCTGGGCCAGTTCCAGGACCTCAACGCTACCACTGGTAACCTGGCATACAATCGGCTTTATAGTCTGCTTATTACTCATTTGTAATACACTAACAGACTAAAGAATCGTTTATGGATGTTTGTTCTCTCGTCAAGACGACACCATTGAAGACATTACCCTCCCAACTTGTCCTAACGTGTAACGTCAAATAATGCATTTGGAGATTAGGATGGTCTCAGGTTAGGATTCATCCCTATTCAGGATTCCTCCCTAAGTGTATGATGTTGAGGTTTTCTTTCCTCTGTAGCAGGCAGCAGTGAGAGTGTGTGGGTGAAACACCAGATCAAGGGAGGTTATGACTACTACTACAACCTGGAGAGCAGAGAGGGGACCTGGGAGGAACCAGAGGACTTCACACACAACAGCACACAGCTCAGCAGAGAGGAAATACAGGTACATGCGCACACCTGCTTGTATGTTGGATAAATACGCTTCTACGTTATAACTGATGAAAATATGTTACTTAAAACGTTGGGACAATGTACAAATAACATTCTCATACCAAATTACACTTCACCATAGACCACATAAGTTCAAAGTAATGTATAATGCATTACAACACTATGAGTATTCATGTGTGTGTCCCCTGATCAGAGTGTGGTTGGAGGTGTGACAGCGGAGTATAACAGGGAACAGTTATGGTTGGCCAACGAGGCCCTGGTAATTCAGCTACAGGCTCGGGTTAGAGGTTACCTGGTGAGGAGAGCTCATGCCCAGAGACTGGACTACCTACGACAACAAGAACCACACGTGGTTCGACTACAGGTACTATACTGTGTCATAGGTTCTACACCGACCGGTTTGTTAAGTCAAACAGTGATTTCATATCTACAGTTAACATTCATGTACCGCTTTTGTAGTTTACTCACAAACACTGTAAACACACATGGACGGAGCTGGTTCTGATTTAGATTTCCTCATGTTTATATCTAGGCCTCCTGGAAGGGCTATAAACAGAAGAAGATATACAAAGACAGAATAAATGTGCTTCAAAGCAACGTGGGGACTGTCGTCAAGGTAACGAGTTAGATTTGGGGCTGTGAGCCTTATTGGAAAGAGAAAACATTAGTTTGAAACGGTGAGAAAGGAAGTGTCAATAATCAGGAGATAAGTCAAGCAGTTTCATCTCAACAAAAACACACAGTTACCCGTTGCTAACATTGTTGTATTCCTTCTGGTCCAGCTTCAGTCGTTCGTTAAAATGTGGAGAGCCAAAAGTAAATACTCTCAAAGACTGCAGTATTTCAAAGACCACGTGAGTAACAAAGTACCTACATTACAAATGAGGAGTTATGGATTAATATTATATCATATTATTCCTCAGTGATATTTGCCAAAGCTTGATTCCCTTCTGTCTTGTTTGTATGTTCAGGAGAAAGACATAGTGAAGATCCAGGCTTTCCTCAAGGCTAACAAAGCCAGAGACGACTACAGAACACTCAGTGAGTTCAGACAGCATTTAATATGTCACACAGTTTTAAAGAAGTCACCGTTTCAGACAGAGAAGGAACTACCTGAACCTCTCTGATACAATTGCAATGTTCATTTGTTTATTTTTTAAACGTTTTTATGTGTCTGTCTGTGTCCGTCTTTCTGTTTGTCTGTCTGTCTATGTGTGTCTGCCCTGTAGCCGGGGCCCAGGACCCTCCTCTGTCGGTGGTGCGTAAGTTTGTCCACCTGCTGGAGCAGAGCAGCCTGGACCTGCTGGAAGAACAGGAAGTGACACGGCTCAGGGAGGAAGTGGTCACTAAGATCCGCTCCAATCAGCAGATGGAGAAAGACCTCAACCTGATGGACATTAAGATCGGCCTGCTGGTCAAGAACAGGATAACCCTACAGGTGACATTTATAGTTTTACACACCGAGGGAAAATGACTGACAAAACAATGCTTTTCAACACAACTGAGAAACTATGCTTATAAACAACAGTCCTGCTAAAATTCCCAGAGCCATTCCCCTTATGCTGCTGATAAGAACTGTTTCTGGAGACGGCGCTTAGTCTGCAATAGTCATAGGCCTGCTCAGATACTTGGATAATGCATCCCTCTTCCCTGTCATCCCTGTTATCACTGATCAAACACAACTGGATAGGAGAGCAGGGCCGTTTTCATGCCGCCTACTGTCCATCTTCCCAGGATGTGGTGTCCCACAGTAAGAAGCTGACGGTGAAGAAGAGTAAAGAGGAGCTGGCTGCAGGGGACAGGCAGGGCATCAAGGCACTGAGCAAAGACAAGAGGAAGAAACTAGAGGCTTACCAGCACCTCTTCTACCTGCTGCAGGTGAGTTCGAAACACAGACACACTAAGACGCGCGCGCGCGCGCACACACACACACACACACACACACACACACTCTACCTCAATCTCATCTCCTCTCCACAGACCAACCCTTCGTACCTGGCCAAGTTAATCTTCCAGATGCCCCAGAACAAATCTACTAAGTTCATGGACACCGTGATCTTCACCCTGTATAACTACGCCTCCAACCAGAGAGAGGAATACCTGCTGCTCAAACTCTTCAAGACCGCTCTGGAGGAGGAGATCAAGTGAGTGGAACTTTTACTTGTCCCAAATCGTATACCTCCCTTATACAGTTACTACAGATGGTCTAGCCTGGGTGCCATTGTTTCTCTGCACTCATGTAGCCTAGGCCATTTGTCTGATAAGGCAACGATGTACAGTAGAACTGTTGAGTGCAACAGACCGTCAACCAGGCTACTAGGTAATCCACGGTCCCCCCTAGTTCATAACTCAAGGATCCTCTCCAATCATATACAGAATTATATATAATTTGTTCTTAAGTTGTCTGATGTTTCCTGACTGAATATGAATATAAAGGAATAATATGGTTGCATGATAAAACATCTATCTTGCTCTCCCTCAGGTCCAAGGTGGACCAGATCCAGGACATTGTGACCGGGAACCCCACGGTCATCAAGATGGTGGTGAGCTTCAACCGCGGAGCCCGCGGTCACAACACGCTGAGGCAGCTGCTGGCACCAGTGGTCAAGGAGATCATCGAGGACAAGACCCTGGGCATCAACACCAACCCTGTGGAAGTGTACAAGGCTTGGGTCAACCAGTTGGAGACCAACACTGGAGAGGCCAGGTGGGGTACACATACAGACACACAACATGCGTACACTCACACAAAAACACTCACTGACCTTAATGTTGTCCTACCTCTCTCAGTAAACTGCCTTACGAGGTGACCCCGGACCAGGCCATGTCACACAAGGAAGTACGTGCCAAGCTGGAGTCCTCCAGTCACGCGCTGCGGACAGCCACAGACAAAGTGCTCAACTCCATTGTGTCGTCACTGGACAACATCCCGTAAGTCTAAGGCCTGGTTGGAATTCTTTAAAAATTCATAATTTTTCCTTCCCTGGTCAAAAGTAGTGCGCTATAAAGGGAATATGGTGCCATTTGGGAGGCAACCCCAAAGGTGTGTTTATGGAAGGGTAGACAAAACAGTGCTTAGAGAGGCCAAAGGGTTAGAACCCATCCAAGTTACATACAGTGCCTTCGGGAAGTATTCAGACCCCTTGACTTTTTCCACATTTTGTTACGTTACAGCCTTATTCTAAAATTGATTTTGAAAAGATAATCCTCAGCAATCTACACACTATACTCCATAATGACAACACGAAAACAGGTTTTTATTGAGCTCAGGTACATCCTGTTTCGTTGAGCATCCTTGAGATGTTTTTACAACTTAATTGGAGTCCACCTGGGGTAAATTCAATTGATTGGACATGCTTTGGAAAAGCACACACCTGTCTATATAAGGTCTCACAGTTGACAGTGCATGTCAGAGCAAATACCATGCCATGAGGGCGAAGGAATTGTCCGTAGAGCTCCGAGACAGGATTGTGTCGAGGCACAGATCTGGGGAAGGGTACCAAAAAATGTCTGCAGCATTGAAGGTCCCCAAGAACACAGCGGCCTCCATCATTCTTGAATGGAAGAAGTTTGGAACCACCAAGACTCTTCCTAGAGCTGGCCGCCCGGCCAAACTGAGCAATCGGGGGAGAAGAGCCTTGATCAGGGAGGTGACAAAGAACCCGATGGTCACTCTGACAAAGCTCTAGAGTTCCTCTTTGGAGATGGGAGAAACTTCCAGAAGGACAACCATCTCTGCAGCACTCCACCAATCAGGCCTTTATGGTAGAGTGGCCAGACAGAAGCCACTCCTCAGTAAAAGGCTTGGAGTTTGCCAGCGGCAGGGACTGGGAGACAGGATCGAGGCAAAGATGAACGGAGCAAAGTACAGAGATCCTTGATGAAAACCTGCTCCAGAGCGCTCCGGACCTCAGACTGGGGCGAAGGTTCACCTTCCAACAGGACAATGACCCTAAGCACACAGCCAAGACAACGCATGAGTGGCTTCGGGACAAGTCTCTGAATGTCCTTGAGTGCCCAGCTAGAGCCTGGACTTGAACCCGATCGAACATCTCTGGAGAGACCTGAAAATAGCTGTGCAGCGACGCTCCCCATCCAACCTGACAGAGCTTGAGAGGATCTGCAGAGACGATTGGGAGAAACTCAGGTGTGCCAAGCTTGTAGCGTCATACCCAAGAAGACTCAATGCTGAGTACTGAGTAAAGGGTCTGAATACTTATATAGATTTGATATTTCCGTTTGTTTTTTTTAATTAATTAATTAAAAGTGAAGTTGTCTGATGTTCTTAAGTTGTCTGATGAAGTTGACAACTTCATCAGACAACTTTATTCAGCAAACATTTCTAAAAACCTGCTTTTGCTTTGTCATTATGGGTTAATGTGGGATAAAATAAGGCTGTTGCCTAACAACATGTGGAAAAGGTCAAAGGGTATGAATACTTTCCGAAGGCACTGTAGCTACTGGTTTAGACAACTGTTGAATCCATACTCTGCAGTGCTCAATATACTCCACAGGGGGGCACCACAGTGTTATTTTACACAACAGACCAAAATACACCCCTCATTTTATAAATGGTCATGGTCCCCTGCATTTTATATTGATGCGCCCTATCATTTGTGCATCATTTCACTGTGTTTTGTATATTTGTAATGCATGCTGGTTTCACATCTTGTCCATGTTTTTTTTTGTTGTGCATGTAGCTATGGCATGAGATACATTGCGAAGGTCCTGAAAAATGCACTTCATGAAAAGTTCCCCGACGCTACAGAGGATGAGTTGTTGAAGGTATAAGGCTTAAGTATTACATCTCATGAATGTTCTCTCATTTGCCATTCATACACCTTCCATTCATGTTGCTCGTATTGGTTTGTTAATATCAAGTTCCTTTAGTGTTCCCTGACACTGTAGTCCCCATGCGTATAATTCAGCAACTCCAGTTTGCACTGATTAATACAGGTCCTTATGACAGCCCTTTGTGACACCATGAAGATACGTTTAACTGAGTGTGTGTGTGTGTGTCTCGGCTGTCAGATTGTAGGGAACCTGCTCTACTATCGCTACATGAACCCAGCCATAGTGGCTCCGGACGGCTTCGACATCATCGACATGTCAGCCGGAGGTCAGCTCCACTCTGACCAGCGTCGTAACCTGGGCTCCGTGGCAAAGATGCTGCAGCACGCTGCCGCCAACAAGCTGTTCGAGGGAGAGAATGCCCACATGACCCCCATGAACAACTATATCTCCCAGACCTACCAGAAGTTCAGGTGAGAGTAAAGAACTACAACTCCCAAGCCTCTTGGCTGAGGTTCAGGTAAGATGGGTCTGGGAGTTGTCATTTTTCGATCTGCAGGCCCATTGAGAGAGAACATTTTTTCTTATTCACAAGGGTTGGCCTGCACTATGTGCTGCGCAGACTGTTTACTGCAGCACTTTATTTATATTTATTTGATCTTTAAGTTCCCTCAAACCTCCAAGCTGTGCATTCTATCATTATTATGGAAAGATGTGTGAACCTCTGTAGCGCCTGGCTCAGCCCGACGCTCGTGAGCAAACAAAACCTCTAACCCAAAACAGCTGTTGGGTAGCAGACCTCTAGGACTAAAACTGTCACCATGTTTTGTAATGTTACATTCACTCCGGGTAGAGCTGCTCCTGAGACTGCCATGTATAGAGGAATGTGCCATCTAATAAAGCAGAAGGGGATGAGATAAGAAAAAGAGCGGGCTGTAGCGATAAACGCTTGGGAGGTCACAGGGAGGTCAGTGCAGGGTTAAGTTGACATGGAAGCAGAGGTGAGCCAGGAGAAAGAGGAAGTGTCTTTGTGTGAAAGTGCAGTGTCAGCAAGGAAGATAGGGTAGATGTCTTCACTAAAACTCAATACCACACACAGAGAGAGAGAGAGAGGGAGAGCGAGAGAAAGGGACAAAGGGTTGTGTTCCCTGAATTCTCTGCCCCTCCCTCATACAGCATTGACATATCTTTACTGGAAATCAGTTTGAACTCCAGCCACTATTAAAAAAAGCAAAGACAAAACCCTGATTCAACAGGATATGTTTTGTCTTTAAAGGGAAATTCTGCCACTTTTCAACCTCACTAAGTATCTTCAACACCATACTAGTCTCTACATATGTGAAAACGGCGCGTTTCTATGATCTGTGGTTAAAAAGATAAGAAGAAAAGTCAGTAAAAACCCCTTCTCTGTGACATCACAGGGTAGGATTAAAAGTAATACAAATGATCAGTTTCTAGCCAGAAGGAGGGTATTTTCTTGCTCCACAAGTCACCAACAATCTGTGTTTGAAAATCATTGATGTCATCGGGTAGAAACGTAGAAATGCACTGTTTTCACATGTAGACACTGGTATTGTGCTGGAGATAATGAAAATTAGATTGTAAAGGGGTGGAATTGCCCTCAAAGCCTTAATGTTTTTGAAATCTTTGATAAAACACTACATGATCAAAAGTATGTGGACACCTGCTCGTCAAACACTCATTCCAAAATCACGGGCATTAATATGGAGTTGGTCCGCCCTTTGCTACTATAACAGCCTCCACTCTCCTGGGAAGGCTTTCCACTAGATGTTGGAACATTGCTACGGGGACTTGCTTCCATTCAGCCACGAGCATTAGTGAGGTCGTGCGATTAGGCCTGGCTCGCAGTTGTTGTTCCAATTCATCCCAAAGGTGTTTGATGGGGTTGAGGTCAGGTCTCAGTGCAGGCCAGTCAAGTTCTTCCACACCGATCTCGACAAACCATTTCTGTATAGACCTCACTTTGTGCACGGGGGCATTGTCATGAAACAGGAAAGGGCCTTCCCCAAACTGTTGCCACAAAGTTGGAAGCACAGAATCGCCTAGAATGCCATTGTATGCTGTAGCGTTAAGATTTCCCTTCACTGGAATTAAGGGGCCTTGCCCAAACCATGAAAAACTACTTTACAGTTGGCACTATGCATTCGGGCAGGTAGCGTTCTACTGGCAACCGCCAAACCCAGATTTGTCTGTCGGACTGCCAGATGGTGAAACGTGATCAATCACTCCAGAGAACGCATTTCCACTGCTCCGTATGCTCCAGCTTTACACCACTCCAGCCGACGCTTGGCATCATTACGCATGGTGATCTTAGGCATGTGTGCGGCTGCTCGGCCATGGAAACACATTTCATGAAGCTACCGACGAACAGTTACTGGAACTCAGTAGTGAGTGTTGCAACCGAGGACAGAAGATTTTTACACACTACGAGCTTCAGCACTCGCCGGTCCTGTTCTATGAGCGTGTGTGGCCTACCACTTCGCGGCTGAGCCGTTGTTGCGCCTAGACGTTTCCACTTCACAATAACAGCACTTACAGTTGACCAGGGCAGCTCTAGCGGGGCAGAAATTTGACGAACTGACTTGTTGGAAAGGTGGCATCCTATGACGGTGCCACGTTCAAAGTCACTGAGCTCTTCAGTAAGGCCATTCTACTGCCAATGTTTGTCTATGGAGATTGCATGGCGGTGTGCTCAATTTTATACACCTGTCAGCAACGGGTGTGGCTGAAATAGTCAAATCCACTAATTTGAAGGGGTGTCCACATACTTTTGTATAAATATCTTCAGAGATGATTAATGATTATTACTACTACCCATTTGTCCAGTAATCTTCCTGGTGAGGTAAAAAACCAACAAAATGCTTTGATCCTGTCTTTCAGGGTGTTTTTCCAGGCGGCGTGTGACGTCCCTGAGCCGGAGGAGAAGTTTAACGTGGATGAGTACTCTGACATGGTGACTCTGTGCAAGCCTGTCATCTACATCTCTATAGATGAGATCATCAACACACATTCGGTAAGCCCAGACTATCTGTGCATCGCAAATGGCACCCTATTCCCTTTATAGTGTATTACATTTGGCCAGAGCTCTATGGGCCCTGGTCAAAAGTAGTGCACTATATAGGGAATAAAGTGCCATTTGGGACGTGACCTTGGACTCTCTGGAACCTATGAAAAGAGCTCTCTCTGCTTTTCCTTCCCCCTCTCTTCTAGTCTCCCTCTTCCCATCTCGCTCTCCTTTTCTCCTCCACTTCCTTCTTTCCCCATCTCCTCTCCATCTCCTGGGTATGAGAGGGGTGATGGTGACAGACCTCTCGTGTATAAAGGAGGACATCAGAGGTTCTTGTAGCCAAATGTCTCAGATGTTGACATACTTTTTGGCGACGTTAGTTTCACTCTCCGCTCACCTCACCCACAGGGCTTACAAACACAACAATGGACATGACGTACATTGTACCCCACTGACAGACATGCTCAGCTTTTATCTTGCAGTTACAGAGTTTAGGATTTCCTTACTGCAGCTTTGACACACACACACACACACACACACACAATAATAAACAGAGAATACAATATTTTACAGTAAAGTCTCAATACATGAACGAAATACATCCCCAGGGAGGATGAGATGAATGGAGGGACGGATGGATGACCCCCTCTTACACCCCCTCCTAGCACAGCTGTGTCCATTGCCATAGGAAGGCAATGGACGTCCTATCATTATCAATCTCCACGTAAGGAGGAAGAGAGGGCTGAGCTTGGTATTACTGTAGAGCTGGATGTCTCTATAAAGACTGGGTGGACATCAAACTGTTATCACACACAGCATACATACAGTGTGGGATGGAGAGGCCTAGTCTTGGAATAGTGTGTGTGTGTGTGTGTCTAAAATAATCCACCTGTGGTGTGTGTGTGTCCTAGCTAGTGTTGGAGCACCTGGAAGCAATCTCCCCCGACCACAACGACCTGCTGCATGAGCTGTTGCAGGACCTAGGGGACATGCCTGACGTGGAGGCACTGCTGGGTACCACAGACACCCCTCACCCTGCTTCCTACACCCCCCACACTATACCTCCTACACCCCTCAGTTCCCCTTCATCCCTGCCTCACAGACACCCCTCACCCTGCTTCCTACAACCCCCCACACTAGACCTCCTCCACCCCTCAGTTCCCCTTCATCCCTGCCTCAGACACCCAACATTATAAATTACAACACTGTGAGATCCATTTACAGTACAGGGCTGAATCCTAATTTGAAAATAAGAGTTTGTTACACAAACTTCTGTGTGAATCATGTAAGTCTTTGACCCACAGTCTCAGAATGAGTATAAAGTATGCCCTTCTCCAGTAGGACTGACAAAAGTACACATTAGCTCTTGTACCAGGAACCAGCCTGCAGGGATAGCTAAACATATTTCTCTGATCTCCAGGTGAAGGAGCGGTGGATCCTAACAACCCCAACAAAGAGAGCACCCTGAGTCAGATGGCTAAGACTCAGATCTCCCTCACCCTCACCAACAAGTTTGAGCTGCCGGAGGGCGATGACAAGGACACGAAAGGCCTGATGATGAAGTAAGACACTGGATGCGTCCCAAATGGCACCCTATTCCACTACATAGGAAATAGGGTGCCATTTGAGACACATATTGCTGTCCACCTGGTGTTCTTCTCTATGAACAATCTACCCATTATTGATTCTTCATTATGGAGGCCCATTAAAATCCCAATACAATTAAACACACACACGGAGGGACTGCACAGTGAGAGGTTTTGTACTGAGCGAGCAAAAGAAGCCAGAAGAAAGAGTTTAAATATGTGTGACGTTCCAGTAGGTTTGAAAATAACAGAAAGGCCGGCACACTGAATATGCTCCCAATTACCACTTTTATTGACAACTTCATGACCTGACAAAGATCCTTGTGGATCGAAACGTTGTTAATAAAGGTGGTAATTATGATCATATTCAGTGTGCTGGCCTTTCTGTGCTTTTCAAGTTTCATTAGCCCAGCACCTAGGATGTGCGTATGACCACAGACGTTCCAGTAGGTACATACATAAATAACCACAGTGGCTATCACTCAGTGACAGCTCTATGTGCTCTTTCCTGCTCCACTATCACTTCCTATCCTGACAGGAAGAGGTTTAGTGGTCAGGGTTATCTTGCCCATGGACCTTCTCATTTTAGATCATGTATTACGCTTCTTTGAGGAAAAGGCTGTGTGTTTAAAAGATGGCCTCTGTTCTGCTGATGTGACTGTTTACATCATGTTTCCTGTGACATGAACACCAATCCAGCCAGTCACAACTGATCATGTGGTCAGGAAAACCTCCTGGCCCTACCTATGATTCTATACATGGCAGCTCTGTTCATCTGACCTACAGTAGTTGAGGTGAGAAGCTATGTTAGGGCTCTGTTGTGTCTGTCTCTCTGTGTGTCACTGTGGTCCTGGCCAGTGTCGGACCAGCATGCACTGGGGCAGGAACCACCCGAGCCACTGCCTGTTCACCCCGCTATCATCCAGAAGGCAAGGTCAGTACAGGTGCATCAAAGCTGGGACAGAGAGAATGAAAAACAGCTTCTATCTCAAGGCCATCAGACTGTTAAATAGCCATCACTAGCACATTAGAGGCTGCTGCTGCCTATTGAAATCACTGGCCACTTTAAGGAATGGAACACTAGTCACTTTAATAATGTTTACATATCTTGCACTACTCATCTCATATGTATATACTGCATTCTATTCTATAATATTATTCTGTATCTTAGTCCATGCCGCTCTCTCATTGCTTGTCCATATATGTATATATTCTTAAATCCCATTCCTTACCTTTTTGTGTGTATTGGGTATATGTTGTGAAATTGTTAGATATTACTGCACTGTCAGAGCTAGAAGCACAAGCATTTCGCTACACCCGCTATAACATCTGCTAAACACATGTATGTGACAAATAAATAAAAAAAAATACATTTTTTTGATTTGATTTGAAACAGGAAGTGTGACTGAGTGGCGTCATGCCCTACTGCAGGGTCAGGGAATGAGACAATGGGACTGTGGTGTGTGTGTGTGTGTGTGTGTTAACACAGCAAAATGTTTCCTCTCCCCCTGAGCCTAGAGAGGCCAGAGCTCAACACACTGCCAATTATTTTCAAACCAAATCAACAAGACAGCATTCACTTACTGTAACAGCTAGCTACAGTGGGGGAAAAAAGTATTTAGTCAGCCACCAATTGTGCAAGTTCTCCCACTTAAAAAGATGCCTGTAATTTTCATCATAGGTACACGTCAACTATGACAGACAAATTGAGGAGAAAAAAATCCAGAAAATCACATTGTAGGATTTTTTATGAATTTATTTGCAAATTATGGTGGAAAATAAGTATTTGGTCACCTACAAACAAGCAAGATTTCTGGCTCTCACAGACCTGTAACTTCTTCTTTAAGAGGCTCCTCTGTCCTCCACTCGTTACTTGTATTAATGGCACCTGTTTGAACTTGTTATCAGTATAAAAGACACCTGTCCACAACCTCAAACAGTCACACTCCAAACTCCACTATGGCCAAGACCAAAGAGCTGTCAAAGGACACCAGAAACAAAATTGTAGACCTGCACCAGGCTGGGAAGACTGAATCTGCAATAGGTAAGCAGCTTGGTTTGAATAAATCAACTGTGGGAGCAATTATTAGGAAATGGAAGACATACAAGACCACTGATAATCTCCCTCGATCTGGGGCTCCATGCAAGATCTCACCCCGTGGGGTCAAAATGATCACAAGAACAGTGAGCAAAAATCCCAGAACCACACGGGGGGACCTAGTGAATGACCTGCCGAGAGCTGGGACCAAAGTAACAAAGCCTACCATCAGTAACACTCTACGCCGCCAGGGACTCAAATCCTGCAGTGCCAGACGTGTCCCCCTGCTTAAGCCAGTACATGTCCAGGCCCGTCTGAAGTTTGCTAGAGTGCATTTGGATGATCCAGAAGAGGATTGGGAGAATGTCATATGGTCAGATGAAACCAAAATAGAACTTTAAAACTCAACTCGTCGTGTTTGGAGGACAAAGAATGTTGAGTTGCATCCAAAGAACACCATACCTACTGTGAAGCATGGGGGTGGAAACATCATGCTTTGGGGCTGTTTTTCTGCAAAGGGACCAGGACGACTGATCCGTGTAAAGGAAAGAATGAATGGGGCCATGTATCGTGAGATTTTGAGTGAAAACCTCCTTCCATCAGCAAGGGCATTGAAGATGAAAAGTGGCTGGGTCTTTCAGCATGACAATGATCCCAAACACACCGCCCGGGCAACGAAGGAGTGGCTTCGTAAGAAACATTTCAAGGTCCTGGAGTGGCCTAGCCAGTCTCCAGATCTCAACCCCATAGAAAATCTTTGGAGGGAGTTGAAAGTCCGTGTTGCCCAGCGACAGCCCCAAAACATCACTGCTCTAGAGGAGATCTGCATGGAGGAATGGGCCAAAATACCAGCAACAGTGTGTGAAAACCTTGTGAAGACTTACAGAAAACGTTTGACCTGTGTCATTGCCAACAAAGGGTATATAACAAAGTATTGAGAAACTTTTGTTATTGACCAAATGCTTATTTTCCACCATAATTTGCAAATAAATTCATTAAAAATCCTACAAAGTGATTTTCTGGATTTTCTTTCTCATTTTGTCTGTCATAGTTGACGTGTACCTATGATGAAAATTACAGGCCTCTCTCATCTTTTTAAGTGGGAGAACTTGCACAATTGGTGGCTGACTAAATACTTTTTTCCACCACTGTAGTAGCAGGCCAATGTCTGAGCTACACTGTTTAGTTAAAATTACGTTAATCCCACATATTGTACACAATCACCCAGTCAGTGCTATGGTTGAATGGCGGGAACCCGGTTACCGAGATTTTCCAGGATTTACCACCCAAAACCACTCCCTTTTCCCGGGATAAATTATTTACATGAACAGTATGGCGTGAAATGGAACTGTTAAATTGTATGCAATGTCTAAATCTGGCTTCTCTACGGCCTCTGCATGATGAGTCATCAAAGCTTATCTATCCAAAATAGATAATCCTGTTCTAAATTGATATACAGTGCATTCGGAAAGTATTCAGACACCTTGACTTTTTCCACATTTTGTTACGTTACAGCCTTATTCTAAAATTGATTAAATTGTATTTTTTGCTCATCGATCTACACACAATGAAATTTTAGCAAATGCATTATTATTACACATATTACATAAGTATTCAGACCCTTTACTCAGTACTTTGTTGAAACACCTTTGGCAGCGATTACAGCCTCGTCTTCTTGGGTATGACGCTACAAGCTTGGCACACCTGTATTTGGGGAGTTTCTCCCATTCTTCTCTGCAGATCCTCTCAAGCTCTGTCAGGTTGGATGGGGAGCGTCGCTGCACAGCTATTTTCAGGTCTCTCCAGAGATGTTCGATCAATTTCAAGTCCGGGCCACTCAAGAACATTTAGAGACTTGTCCCGAAGCCACTCCTGCGTTGTCTTTGCTGTGTGCTTAGGGTCGTCCTGTTGGAAGGTGAACCTTGCTCCGTTCATCTTTCCCTCGATCCTGACTAGTCTCCCAGTCCCTGCCGCTTAAAAACATCCACACAGCATGATGCTGCCACCACCATGCTTCACCGTAGGGATGGTGCCAGATTTCCTCCAGACGTGACGCTTGGCATTCAGGCCAAAGAGTTCAATCTTGGTTTCATGGTCTGATAGTCCTTTAGGTGTCTTTTGGGAAACTCCAAGTGGGCTGTCATGTACCTTTTTATTGAGGAGTGGCTTCCATCTGGCCACTCTACCATAAAGGCCTGATTGGTGGAGTGCTGCAGAGATGGTTGTCCTTCTAGAAGGTTCTCCCATCTCCACAGAGGAACTCTAGAGCTCTGTCAGAGTGACCATCAGGTTCTTGGTCACCTCCCTGACCAAGGCCCTTCTCCCCTGATTGCTCAGTTTGGCTGGGCGGCCATCTCTTGGAAGAGTCTTGGTGGTTGCAAACTTCTTCCATTTAGGAATGATGGAGGCCACTGTGTTCTTGCTCTGACTTGCACTGTCAACTGTGGGACCTTATATAGATGTGTGTGCCTTTCCAAATCATGTCCAATCAATTGAATTTACCACAGGTGGACTCCAATCAAGTTGTAGAAACATCTCAGGGATGATCAGTGGAAACAGGATGCGCCTGAGTGCAATTTCGAGTCTCATAGCAAAGGGTCTGAATACTGATGTAAATAAGGTATTTCTGTTTTTTAATTTCTAAAAACCTGTTTTCTCTTTGTCATTATGGGGTATTGTGTGTAGATTGAGGGGGGAAAATAATTTGAATACATTTTAGAATAAGGCTGTAACGTAACAAAAAGGGAAGGTGTCTGAATACTTTCTGAATGCACTGTATAGCCCTATATAGATGTCCTAGCCTACAGTGAGGGGCAAAAAATATTTGATCCCCTGCTGATTTTGTACGTTTGCCCACTGACAAAGACATGATCAGTCTATAATTTTAATGGTAGGTTTATTTCAACAGTGAGAGAGAGAATAACAACAACAAAAATCCAGAAAAACGCATGTCAAAAATTTTATAAATTGATTTGCATTTTAATGAGGGAAATAAGTATTTGACCCCTCTGCAAAACATGACTTAGTACTTGGTGGCAAAACCCTTGTTGGCAATCACAGAGGTCAGACGTTTCTTGTAGTTGGCCTCCAGGTTTGCACACATCTCAGCAGGGATTTTGTCCCACTCCTCTTTGCAGATCTTCTCCAAGTCATTAAGGTTTCGAGGCTGATGTTTGGCAACTCGAACCTTCAGCTCCCTCCACAGATTTTCTATGGGATTAAGGTCTGGAGACTGGCTAGGCCACTCCAGGACCTTAATGTGCTTCTTCTTGAGCCACTCCTTTGTTGCCTTGGCCGTGTGTTTTGGGTCATTGTCATGCTGGAATACCCATAAACGACCCATTTTCAATGCCCTGGCTGAGGGAAGGAGGTTCTCGCCCCGTCCATCGTCCCTTTGATGCAGTGAAGTTGTCCTGTCCCCTTAGCAGAAAAACACCCCCAAAGCATAATGTTTGCACCTCCATGTTTGACGGTGGGGATGGTGTTCTTGGGGTCATAGGCAGCATTTCTCCTCCTCCAAACACGGCGAGTTGAGTTGATGCCAAAGAGCTCGATTTTGGTCTCATCTGACCACAAAACTTTCACCCAGTTCTCCTCTGAATCATTCAGATGTTCATTGGCAAACTTCAGACGGGCCTGTATATGTGCTTTCTTGAGCAGGGGGACCTTGCGGGCGCTGCAGGATTTCAGTCCTTCACGGCGTAGTGTGTTACCAATTGTTTTCTTGGTGACTATGGTCCCAGCTGCCTTGAGATCACTGACAAGATCCTCCCGTGTAGTTCTGGGCTGAGAGAGATTGACAGTTATTTTGTGTTTCTTCCATTTGCGAATAATCGCACCAACTGTTGTCACCTTCTCACCAAGCTCTTGTAGCCCATTCCAGCCTTGTGTAGGTCTACAATCTTGTCCCTGACATCCTTGGAGAGCTCTTTGGTCTTGGCCATGGTGGAGAGTTTGGAATCTGATTGATTGATTGCTTCTGTGGACAGGTGTCTTTTATACAGGTAACAAGCTGAGATTAGGAGCACTCCCTTTAAGAGTGTGCTCCTAATCTCAGCTTGTTACCTGTATAAAAGACACCTGGGAGCCAGACATCTTTCTGATTGAGAGGGGGTCAAATACTTATTTCCCTTATTAAAATGCAAATCAATTTACAACATTTTTTACATGCGTTTTTCTGGATTTTGTTGTTGTTATTCTGTCTCTCACTGTTCAAATAAACCTACCATTAAAATTATAGACTGATCATTTCTTTGTCAGTGGGCAAACGTACAAAATCAGCAGGGGATCAAATACTTTTTTCCCTCACTGTACCTCTTTCAGGTAATAAATTCAATGCAGTTTTAGCCTTATATTTAGCCTATTAAGGATGGATTATGCATAATAAGCTTCTAATTTATAGCCTCTGTCTCTTGCGCAATACGCAAGCACCTGTGCTCCGCTGGCCCCTCTCCTTAAAAAAACGCTCCTTAGCTCTTGGATTCCCATGCAGGAAAAGCTAGAGTAGAATAGCTTGCTGGACATAATGTTTTTTAGCATTTCTTAAACCAATAGACTATTTGAAGAGGGACGCAAGCTCTTGTTAGCTGAATGTTAAATACAGCATCCAGTAGAACTCATGGGTAGTTTGAAAGAACGAACGCGCGATGGCGGTAGGCTATAGCAGTTATTTATTTAGACCCATAACCATTCAATCTTCGTGAAGAGAAGTTGAAAGCCTTCTGCATCTAATTCTAGTCCTATATTATTCAAGGATATCATTAGAATGATGAAGATAAGGACAACTAAACTTATTTCATTTAGCCTAACTGTTGAACGCGAGGAAGGAATGAAGCAACAATAGAGAGCGAAAAAGGAGGTAGGTTAAAAACATTAGTGGAAATATTATAAAAGGCATATATATGTGTCAGTCTACTAATTATACAAATAGGCCGTGTTATATTTCAAAATTAAATTCAAATTCATTAGCCTATACAAATATACTGCATGTGCTGCACCAGAGTTGTATGTTCTCTGCTGCTTTATCGTGTTTTGAATGATGTGCAGTATAATACAATACAGTAGAGTAATACAGTTCACACTCAAAAAGGTTAGCCTACTGGAGCTAGTTTCATTTATTTACCCAAGAGAGCATATAGCTAGCTACACTGTATATACAAAAGTATATGGACACCCCTTCAAATTAGTGGATTTGGCTATTTTCGCCACACTCACTGCAGACCGGTGTATAAAATCGAGCACACAGCCATGCAATCTCCATAGACAACCATTGGCAGTAGAATGGTCTTACAGAAGAGCTCAGTGACTTTCAACGTGGCACCGTCATAGGATGCCACCTTTCCAACAAGTCAGTTTGTCAAATTTCTGCCCTGCTAGAGCTGCCCCGGTCAACTGTAAGTGCTGTTATTATGAAGTGGAAACGTCTAGGAGCAACAACGGCTCAGCCGCGAAGTGGTAAGCCACACAATCTCACAGAACCGGACCGCCAAGTGCTGAAGCTCGTAGCGCGTAAAAATCAACTGTCCTCGGTTGCAACACTCACTACCGAGTTCCAAACTGCCTCTGGAAGCAACGTCAGCGCAATAACTGTTCGTTGGGAACTCCATGAAATGGGTTTCCATGGCCGAGCAGCAGCACAAAAGCCTAAGATCACCATGCGCAATGCCAAGCGTCGACTGGAGTGGTGTTAAGCTCGCCGGCATTGGACTCTGGAGCAGTGGAAATGCGTTCTCTGGAGTGATGAATTACACTTCACCATCTGGCAGTCCAACAGATTAATCTGTGTTTAGCGGATACGAGGAGAACTCTACCTGCCCGCATGCATAGTACCAACTGTACAGTTTGGTGGAGGAGGAATAATGGTTTGGGGCTGTTTTTCATGGTTCGGGCTAGGCCCCTTAGTTCCAGTGATGGGACATATTAACGCTACAGCGTACAATGACATTGTAAAAGATTCTGTGCTTCCAACTTTGTGGCAACAGTTGGGGAAGTCCCTTTCCTGTTTCAGCATGACAATGCCCCCGTGCACAAAACGAGGTCCATACAGAAATGGTTTGTTGAGATCGGTGTGGAAGAACTTGACTGGCCTGCGCAGAGCCCTGACCTCAACCCCATTGAACACCTTTGGGATGAATTAAAACGCTGACTCCAAGCCAGGCCTAATCGTCCAACATCAGTGCCCGACCTCACTAATGCTCTTGTGGCTGAATGGAAGCAAGTCCCCGCAGCAATGTTCCAACATCTAGCGGAAAGCCTTCCCAGAAGACTGGAGGCTGTTTATAGCAGCAAAGGGGGGACCAACTCCATATTAATGCCCGTAATTTTGGAATGAGATGTTTGACCAGCAGGTGTCCACATACCTTTGGTCATGTAATGTACATCTATGGGCTTTTATGTTTTTCTGTCGTGCGTAATGTGCAGTAACCTATATCAGAAATATGTTTGCTATTGGATAACAGCACAATCATTTGGGCTTTGCCTCATTAAATGTATTTAATGTAGGGCTCATAAAATGTATTTAATGTATGGCTCATCAGGCTCATGTAACGTCAGACTTGACTTTTCAATCAAAGCACTAATCAAATCCAGATGTTTATATGCTTTTGAATGACACTTCCGGTTTTGGCAGGAAATACCGTGTTACCTGGGAGAAAAGTGATTTATTCTCAGGATGGAACATTTGTAAAATACCGGGAAAATATTCAACCCTAGTCAGTGCCCTGGCGTGTACAGTATATAATCTGTGTATGATAAGGTTTCATACGGTCTGCGTCCCAAAATGCACCCTATTTCCTATATAGTGTGCATTACTTTTGATCATGGCCCGTTGGGCTGTTGTCAAAAGTAGTGCACTACGTAGAGAATAGTGGATGTGATGCATATTTGGGATGCAACCTGAGTGATCTCCTCTCTCTCTCTCTCTCTCTCTCTCTGTTTGTCAGAACTAAGAAATTGATAATGGATGTGATCAGGATCCAGCCAGGAGACACTCTCCCAGAGACCCTGGAGACCCCGGCCTCTGCCCTCCAGGTGACGGCATCATCATGACCCCCACATCACCCCTACACCAGCCCAGCACCCCACACCTCAGATACTTCTCTATTAAAGTGGTTTGATTTCCATGCTATACCCTTTGTGCCATGCAGGAGTGGGAAAAGAGCAGTCATGCTAACTTTTCTGTCTTTCTTTGTGTGTCTGTCTCTCTTCCAACTTGTACTATTCTGTGATCCAGGAGCGTGAGCATGCCAAGGTGGTGGAGCTGCGTGCGTTGCAGGACGCCCAGGCCCCAGAAGGGCTGAAGAGCAGCCAGGCAGTGCTGGAGGACAGACAGCTGCCTCTAGAGCAGAAGAAGAGGAAGATCGTCCGCAATCTCCGAACCCTGGAGCAGGCTGGCCTCGTCACCGCTAGCAACAAGTACCAGGACCTCATCAACGACATCTCCAAGGTACACGAACACGCGCAAACACACACACACGCACACTGATGGCCTTCAGAGTTTGTTGCAGAAAACCAATCTAACCAATCACGTCCCTTCTGTGTGTGATTGACAGGACATTCGTTACCAGAGGCGTTACAGACAGAGGAGGAAGGCGGAGCTAGTGAAGCTCCAGCAGACACTGAGTGCGCTCAACTCAAAGACAGCCTTCTATCAGGACCAGACCAACTACTATGACACCTACATCAAGACCTGCCTCGACAACCTCAACAGGAAGTGAGTGTCCGCTACAAAACGGACCCCTCGGCACTAACCATAAATCTTAGTTAATCTGGCCTAGCAAGTCAACAAGGATCTAGGGTTACAGAGGAGGGATTGGTTTGGAATTGGGCCATATGGGCTAGTTTTGAATTACATTGTCATTACTCTTGTCATTGAAGTATGATCAGAGCCCATGGTCCCATTCAAAACTTGAAGTGTGTGGGTGTTTGAGTGACTTCCATGCATGTGTGTGACCTATCTGGTGTGTGTCCACAGGAATGCGCGGCGGTCCATAAAGCTGGACAGGAAGGTGGAGGAGAAGGGCAGTAAGAAGTGGAAGCATCAGTCTCTGAAGTACACGGCGGCCCGGCTGCATGAGAAGGGAGTGATCCTGGAGATAGAGGGGCTGCAAACCAACCAGTGAGTGGAGCAGAGCGGACAGCTGGTCCTAGTTAGCTTCCCAACACTGGATTCGTGTTCATTTGTACAAACCGTTTCAAACCATAGCAAAATGTTTTCCAATTGAAAACGCTTTGCAACGGAAAATGTTTTACAACGAACAGCCAGGGTTTTGTGATTAAGGTAGTGTGGTTGACCTAATGTGAACATGGTATTGAATCCTGAAGTGAGTTGGTACTATACCAGGTCTCGGGTTTTGTGGTAGAAGTAGGTTATCCATGTTTGACAAGGGGCCCTGCTCCAATACTTTCAGAAATGCATTAGTCTGTCGTAGCTTTTACAAATCAGATCAGTGATTACTCCAAAGGAAGGGAGGACGAAAGGATGCATTGGTAAAGTATTGGGACGCTCCCGTCCTTCCTGTTTTGGCCATGCTGTTCCAGCTAGAGTGGCGCTGAGGAGAGCCAAAGACAGCTCCTGTGGCTCCTCACTGCACTCTGTGGGAGTTCCAGGCCAGGTCAGAGAGGAAACAGAGAGCTAGTATCTAGAAAACAGAGCTACGTCCTCTTTAGAGCCATTTAAACACACTGCACTTTGGCCCAATATCATCAATGCATTTCAGAAAATAAACAAGGAGGAAAATAAGTACACAAAAAAAAGGATATCGAATCATTCTATTTCTGGTCATACTATTTCTCACACTCAACATTGAAATGTTATGCCAAAACAAGTCTGTCTGACGTTGTGACCTGCGGACAATAACAGGACTAGAGATGGTTATTATAAAGTCTGTCTGTATCCTGTCTTTTCATTTCACTCATTATTTCAATCCCATGTTTTTGTATTTTCTCTCAGGTTCAAAAATGTAATGTTTGACATCTCGCCCAGTGAGGAAGTTGGAGACTTTGAGGTGAAGGCCAAGTTTATGGGAGTTGAGATGGAAAAGGTCCAACTCCATTTCCAGGTAATGCTTTTCCCCGGAATTACGACGACGCATGGTTGTCACTGACTGTCTGTTGTCCCTGTCTGCCTTTCTCTGTCCCTGTCTGTCTTTCTCTGTCCCTGTCTTTCTCTGTCCCAGTCTGACTATCTCTGTATGTCTATGTCCCTGTCTATCTCTGTCCCTGTCTGTCTGTCTTTCTCTGTCCCAGTCTGACTGTCTATCCCGGTCTGACTGTCTATCCCGGTCTGACTGTCTATCTCGGTCTGACTGTCTGTCTATCTCTGTCCCTGTCTGACTGTCTGTCTATCTCTGTCCCTGTCTGACTGTCTGTCTGTCTGTCTCTGTCCCTGTCTGACTGTCTGTCTGTCTCTGTCCCTGTCTATCTGTCTCTGTCCCAGTCTGACTGTCTATCTCTGTCCCGGTCTGACTGTCTATCCCGGTCTGACTGTCTATCCCGGTCTGACTGTCTGTCTGTCCCTGTCTGACTGTCTGTCTATCTCTGTCCCTGTCTGACTGTCTGTCTGTCTCTGTCCCTGTCTGACTGTCTGTCTGTCTCTGTCCCTGTCTGACTGTCTGTCTGTCTCTGTCCCTGTCTGACTGTCTATCTGTCTCTGTCCCTGTCTGACTGTCTATCTGTCTCTGTCCCTGTCTGACTGTCCATCTCTGTCCCAGTCTGACTGTCTATCTCTGTCCCAGTCTGACTGTCTATCTCTGTCCCGGTCTGACTGTCTATCTCTGTCCCGGTCTGACTGTCTATCTCGGTCTGACTGTCTATCTCTGTCCCGGTCTGTCTGTCTCTGTCCCGGTCTGACTGTCTATCTCTGTCCCGGTTTGACTGTCTGTCCCGGTCTGACTGTCTGTCTGTCCCTGTCTGACTGTCTTTCTCTGTCCCTGTCTGTCTGTCTCTGTCCCGGTCTGTCTGTCTCTGTCCCGGTCTGTCTGTGTCTGTCCCCGTCTGACTGTCTATCTCGGTCTGACTGTCTATCCTGACTGTCTATCTGTCCCTGTCTGTCTGTCTCTGTCCCTGTCTGACTGTCTGTCTGTCTGTCTCTGTCCCTGTCTGACTGTCTGTCCCTGTCTGTCTGTCTCTGTCCCGGTCTGACTGTCTATCTCTGTCCCGGTCTGACTGTCTATCTCTGTCCCGGTCTGACTGTCTGTCCCGGTCTGACTGTCTATCTCGGTCTGACTGTCTATCCTGACTGTTTATCTCGGTCTGACTGTCTATCGGTCCCTGTCTGACTGTCTATCTGTCCCTGTCTGACTGTCTGTCTGTCTCTGTCCCGGTCTGACTGTCTGTCTGTCTCTGTCCCTGTCTGACTGTCTCTGTCCCTGTCTGACTGTCTGTCTGTCTCTGTCCCTGTCTGACTGTCTAGCTCTGTCCCTGTCTGACTGTCTATCTCTGTCCCTGTCTGACTGTCTATCTCGGTCTGACTGTCTATCTCGGTCTGACTGTCTATCTGTCCCGGTCTGACTGTATCTCTGTCCCTGTCTGACTGTATCTCTGTCCCTGTCTGACTGCCTATCTCTGTCCCTGTCTGACTGCCTATCTCTGTCCCTGTCTGACTGCCTATCTCTGTCCCTGTCTGACTGTATCTCTGTCCCTGTCTGACTGTATCTCTGTCCCTGTCTGACTGCCTATCTCTGTCCCTGTCTGACTGCCTATCTCTGTCCCGGTCTGACTGCCCATCTCTGTCCCGGTCTGACTGCCCATCTCTGTCCCGGTCTGACTGCCCATCTCTGTCCCGGTCTGACTGCCCATCTCTGTCCCTGTCTGACTGCCTATCTCTGTCCCTGTCTGACTGCCTATCTCTGTCCCGGTCTGACTGTCTATCTGTCCCGGTCTGACTGTATCTCTGTCCCTGTCTGACTGCCTATCTCTGTCCCTGTCTGACTGTCTATCTCTGCCCCTGTCTGACTGTCTATCTCTGTCCCTGTCTATCTCTGTCCCTGTCTGACTGTCTATCTCTGCCCCAGTCTGACTGCCTATCTCTGTCCCTGTCTATCTCTGTCCCTGTCTATCTCTGTCCCTGTCTGACTGTCTATCTCTGTACCTGTCTGAATGTCCATCTTCTGTGTCCCTGTCTAAAACATTGATAGTTGACTGTCTGTTGTCTGTGTCCCTGTCTAGGACCTGCTCCAACTTCAGTACGACGGAGTGGCGGTGATGAAGATGTTTGACAAGGCCAAAGTCAACGTCAACCTGCTCATCTTCCTCCTCAACAAGAAGTTCTATGGAAAATAAACCAAATATAGAGGAGGGGAAAGATGGGGAGGAGGGCATGGGTGTGAAAGGATTGTATGCCTTCTGACAAAGCAATGTTTGTTAAAGGAGCCATTGGGATAGGAGGTTTGAATGGTCCGTAACGTGTTATGTATGTCTGACCTGAATATGATTTGGTATCAATTTATAGCATGTCCATCCTCAGGCTCACACACACACGTCCTAGGGCTTGTGAGCCACACACACACACACACACACACAAAGGGTTGTTTGTTATATTTGATGCTGATTTGATTGATTACTTTATACCAAAAGCTCACAATGAAATGGGTGTGTTGCTTGTATTGTCATGTTATATCTGTTGCTTCATTATTTTGTTTGTTTATGTTCAGTTTTCCACGGGGAGATTGTACATGGAATATATATATATATTTTAAGTATATTGTAATGAAATCTACATTTTATATGTAGAAGTTCTATAAAGACAACATTGTTATTGTCACTTGTAAAAAAATAAAGTATGTTTGCAACAAGATGTGTACAATGCACTACTGCCTAATAGTCAGAATGGGAGTTTAGACGGTACTATTCCTGTCCAGCAATGGATTGTCTGGAAGTGGTTAACCAGTGTCTTTTTAATCCACATACAGTACATTGGGAAGCTGTGCTATTAATTACCATTTATTATTTCTAGAGTTTCACTGCTTTTTACACATAATGTACCGTCCAGTATACATTTAAATAATTTCAAATGTTTAATAAAAAATAAAAATAATGTATATTATTTGCTTGGTCTTTGTTTTAAAGACGAATACATTAAGACCTATATGAAACGTTGATGTTTAAAGGGATGTTGATTGATTGATAAATGAAAGAATGGAGTTTTATAAGTGTCACCCCAAGACTTTAAAATATGCCCTGGTCCAAGATGGTTGTTTACGTGACTGAATAGAAACGTTTTAATTCCTGTCTGTATTAATTAATCACTCGAGAGTAGGCGAGGCTTTTTACGACCCCATCTATTGATTGAGTCAGCCTTTTCAAAACCAATGAGTCTTTTGGTGCTACGTGCTGACTGTTCGAAGGTTTACTGCAGTTTCCCTCACAAAAATAGTTTTGAGATATTTTCTTTGTCTTCAATTTTAATGAAACTTTTGCCTGCTAAGTCAATTTAGGATAAGAGTGAACTACCGACATGGTTTATTGGATTGTTGCGACGTTGGCACTTTTTTCTCTCCAAACTTCAGCATATGTGCCATACAATGGTAAGTAAAATGCCTTAAGATGTTTTTTCTTTGTCTTTATTTTCATAGAGCAGTTAAACATCGAAATTATTATTTGTTTTACGTTATGAGGAGATATTGACCCTTCTGCTCTTAAGCAGTACACGACACAGTTTTACGAAGCACTTTGGGTTTTGAAATGTGCCAAATTGCCAATTTGCGTTACGCATTGTAGAGGGGATTTTTTTTTTTTACTTTATTTATTTTTTGATTAACGAAAAGAGCAGTTCCAACTGCGAATATTTATTTTTAACCTCCATAAAAATGAAGTTCATGAAGATTGAAACGTAATGGGATTTGAAGACAATTGCGATGAACACGTACTTATAGCTCAACATGTTCAACTCTTTCATACTTTGTCGCATCTATGTGCACAATTTAGAAAAATGTGTTCCTATATTCAACATATTTACCCTCTGACTCGAACTGCCACTTGTAGGCTATATCCAGGGATTTTTCAATGCCGTTTCTTCCCTCAAAAAGGGCGCATAGAAAGCTGTGAAAATGAATTATGACAAACCTTTTGTGTACTGTATGTTAATTTACCTAGACCCTGTTAGGACAGCATGCAGAGTAGACTATACTTACACTCAATTGTCTTGTCTGTAGCATGTTTGCTATAGCACTGCCACCTTACATGTTTACAGTGAGGTGTGCACCATGCAGTTATGGTATATCTCATCTCACCATTCATTAGGCACTTTATAATGAAGTGCACATACTGTTATTTGTTACTCAGCTCCCGTTGTCTGTCTGTCTCAGACTCAGGACTCAACCTGAGGACATTTGCAGGGACCTTCCTGTCGGTGACTGATGAGCCCATCGACTACATAGGGCTGGACGTACAGGAGGGCAGTGGCTCAGGGATGGGGCAGGAGCCTGTGAAGAAGCAGGAGCATGGCCATCACGGCCCCCGCCGCTCCACCAAGATCGTAATCTCTGAGGAGGCCCGCAGCTTCCTCCAGGGTCGCTTAGCAACGGCCTTCATCCCCACAGTCTACACCCTGGTCTTCATCATCAGCGTCCCCCTCAACCTGATTGCCGTGGTGATGTTTGTGCGTCGTATCCGTCCGAGGAAGCCGGCGGTGATCTACATGCTGAACCTGGCCAGTGCTGATCTCCTCTTCTCCCTGCTGCTCCCCTTCAGGATCTCCTACCATTTCCACGGCAACGACTGGGTTTATGGCCCCTTCATGTGTCGCCTGGTGACAGCAGCCTTCTACTGCAACATGTACTGCTCCGTCCTGCTCATGATGTGCATCAGCATCGACCGCTTCCTGGCCGTGGTCTACCCCATGGACTCCCTGACATGGCGTAGTCCACAGACGGCCTCTGTGGTCTGTGGCGCCATGTGGCTGTTGGCCTTGGGAGGAGTGACCCCCCTCCTGCTCTCCAGACAGACCATCCACCTCCCGGACGTGGGCATCACCACCTGCCATGACGTGCAGGATGTAGACAAGCTCCGTGCCTACTACCTCTACTTCTTCCCCATCTACTCCTCCATCTTCTTCTTCATCCCTCTGGTGTTCACCGCTGTGTGCTACGTCCGCATTGTGCAGGCCCTGGCTGCGGCCAACGTGGAGAACCGCTCCAGGAAGACTCGTGCGGTGGTGATGGCGGTGACGGTGCTGGTGGTGTTTGTGGCCTGCTTCACCCCCACCAACGTCATCCTCCTGGTGCACTACCTCAAGCTGGCCCACGGACACAGTGACAGCTCCTACCAGGCGTACCTGCTCTCCATGTGTGTGGGCAGCCTCAGCTGCTGCCTGGACCCCCTCATCTACTACTTTGGTTCGTCCCAGTGCCAGAGACAGGTGGCAGCCCTACTGGGCTGCAGAGAGGCCGGGCCAGGGGCAGAGCTCAGCTCTCAGACAGGCAGTACCAGGACCAGCAGGCTAGAGAGCATTCAGAGCACTGTGGGCAGTCATTACAGGAAGCTCATGGCCTGACGCCTTGGACTGCGAATTGGAACAAACTCTAGCGCTGCATCTCGATAGTCTAGAGCAGGGTTTCTTAAACTATGTGTCAGGAACCAAAGTGGGCCCTGGGCATGTGAAGTAGGTCGCTAGTTATGATCTACATCTATAATCACTAGGGCTATCAAACTAAAACATTTCATCGAGTTAATCGCAGAATTTGCAGTGATTAATCGCGATAAATCGCAAATTCTGAATTATCTCATTGAGCTGTAAATTACAAATTTTATACAAAAATCATTACAAGAATATTGACGTCTTGATTTTGTCCAAAGTAACAGTAAGCAAAATCTGTTAAATTGATAAAGCACACTTTCTTTGACCTCAATGTCAACTTCTTTTGACATCGAATTGTTGTTTTTAGCAGTATAGATTATGTATTTTGGTTGCCTGACAACTCAAACTGAATTCTTCCGCTGCTCTATGTTCGCTACATACTTCAGTCAGACTGCCATCATTGAAGTCGTTTGTGGTGACGTCAAAATGAGGGGTGTTGTACAAAACAAAGTCATCAGAGATTGGATCATCTCTAACCAATCAGAGTATCAAAGCCAATGACAAATGTTCTAAACGCCGCTTTACCCACGTGTTCTAGCTCTGGCCCGACCCATCAGTTTCTGGGACCAATCAGAACAGTTAGAATGTGTTTGCGTTCTAGAAAAAAAACCATTTGTGCAGAAAAATTACAAAAAGTTAACTCTACTTAACTGATTAACTCTGACAGCCCTAATAATCACACACTATTTCTTCTTCATGTGGGTCTTTGGAGGATGATTTGGGTCACCAGAGGACAGTCAATTTCTAATTTTAGTCGAGCTGAAAAAGTTTAAGAACCCCTGGTCTAGGGTGGCTTCCTCTCCTCCCTCATCTACTTCCCTTCATCTGCACTGAATTAAAACATTATATAGTTGAAGGCAACATATGGATGCCTACCAGGCTTTTGCGCTCACCTGTCCAGTACCTTTAGAACAATGCAGATAAAAGGAAGGAGACAAGGAGAGGAAGCCACGTAATTGAAATGCAGCCACTGTTTACTGTGTCCAGCTCATCAAGTGGCAGAGCTGGAATTTATTGCACTTCTCTTTTTTGATTGTCTTAATTGTTTTTTCATAGTTTGCGTTGTTAAATCAAGGGCCATATTTTAAAGCCAGTCTACTGATATGTACACATCTATGAATGCTTTGTTGCTGCAGATACTGTATATTGAGTAATGCTTAGGGCAAAATTCTGGAAACATTCAATAAATTCCCTGGTTTTACAGAAGTCCTGGTTGGAGGAATCCTGGAATCCGGGAATCCTCCACCTGGGATTTCGAGAAAACCAGGGAATTTATTGAAAGTTCACGTAATTTTGGAACCCTAGTAAATAATGCTGTTTAGTGTGCACTCTATACATATATATACAGTGCATTCAAAGTATTCAGACCCCTTGACTTTTTCCACATTTTGTTATGTTACAGCTTATTCTAAAATGGATTTGTAAAAATCCTCATCAATCTACACACAATACCCACAATACAAAGCAAAAACAGGTTTTTTGATTTTTTTGGAGACATTTGTTAAAAATAAAAAACGGATAAGTATTCAGACCCTTTGCTATGAGACTTGAAATTGCGCTCAGGTGCATCCTGTTACATCCTGTTTCCATTGATCATCCTTGATGTTTCTACAACTTCATTGGAGTCCACCTGTGGTAAATTCAATTGATTGGACATGATTTGGAAAGGCACACATCTGTCTATATGAGGTCCCACAGTTGACAGTGCATGTCAGAGCAAAAACCAAGCCATGAGGTTAAAGGAATTGTCCGCAGAGTTCCGAGACAGGATTGTGTCGAGGCACAGATCTGGGGAAAGGACCCAAAACATTTCTGCAGCATTGAAAGTCCCCAAGAACACAATGGCCTCCATCATTCTTAAATGGAAGAAGTTTGGAACCACCAAAACTCTTCCTAGAGCTGGCCAAGAACCCGATGGTCACTCTGACAGAGCTCCAGAGTTCCTCTGTGGAGATGGGCGAACCTTCCAGAAGGACAACCATCTCTGTAGCACTCCACCAATCAGGCCTTTATGTTAGAGTGGCCAGACGGAAGCCACTCCTCAGTAAAAGGCACAAGACAGCCCGCTTGGAGTTTGCCAAAAGGAACCTAAAGGAATCTCAGACCATGAGAAACAAGATTCTCTGGTCTGATGAAACCAAGATTGAACACTTTGGCCTGAATGCCAAGCGTCACGTCTGGAGGAAACCTGACACCATCCCGATGGTGAAGCATGGGGGTGGCAGCATCATGCTGTGGGGATGTTTTTCAGCAGCAGGGACTGGGAGACTAGTCAGGATCGAGGGAAAGATGAGCGGAGAAAGGTACAGAGAGATCCTTGATGAAAACCTGCTCCAGAGTGCTCAGGACCTCAGACTGGGGCGAAGGTTCACCTTCCAACAGGACAACGACCCTAAGCACACAGCCAAGGCAAAGCAGGAGTGGCTTCGGGACAAGTCTCTGAATGTCCTTGAGTGGCCCAGCCAGAGCCCGGACTTGAACCCAATCTAACGTCTATGGAGAGACCTGAAAATAGCTCCCCATCAAACCTGACAGAGCTTGAGAGGATCTGCAGAGAAGAATGGGAGAAACTCCCCAAATACAGGTGTGCTAAGCTTGTAGCGTCATACCCAAGAAGACTTGAGGCTGTAATCGCTGCAAAAGATGCTTCAACAAAGTACAGAGTAAAGGGTCAGAATACTTATGTAAATGTGATATTTCCTGTTTGAAACTGTTTTTGCTTTGTCATTATGGGGTATTGTGTGTAGATTGATGAGGATTATTAGAATAAGGCTGTAACGTAACAAAATGTGGAAAAAGTCAAGGGGTCTGAATACTTTCCAAATGCACTGTATGACAATGTACAGGTAACTGCCAAAATAATGGAAACACTTGAGTAAATGAGGGATATAAAGTATATTGAAAGCAGGTGCTTCCACACAGGTGTGGTTGCGGAGTTAAGTAAGCAATTAAATCCCATCATGCTTAGCGTCATGTATAAAAATGCTGGGCAGGCCATTATTTTGGCTACCATGGCTATGCCCCCATAGGATGACAATGCCCTCATCCACAAGGCACGAGTGGTCACTGAATGGTGTGATGTGCATGAAAATGATGTAAACCATATGCTATTATGGTCTCAGTCACCAGATCTCAACCCAATTGAACACTTATGGGAGATTCTGGAGTGGTGCCTGAGACAGCGTTTTCCACCACCATCAACAAAACACCAAATTATGGAATTTCTCATGGAAGAATGGTGTCGCATCACTCCAATAGAGTTCCAGGCACTCGTAGAATCTATGCCAAGGTGCATTGAAGCTGTTCTGGATCGTGGTGGCCCAACGCCCTATTAAGACGCTTAATGTTGGTGTTTCCTTTATTTTGGCAGTTACCTGTATATTACTATAAAAACGTTTTAGAAATAGTCCATGCATTGTCTCAAAACCGCAGTATTAACATGAATAGTTTACAGTGGCTATGTCTCTACACGTTTCAAGTTAAGTATGAAAGTAGTTGGCGGTTGTCTGATTTCTTAACTCCTCACTAACCTAGACGTGTTCAGGAAGATTTACATTGTATAACCATGTTACATTTTATTCAGATCTTATTACTTCAATGGGAAAAGTTACAAAATTAGTTTGAATGTCTTTATTTAAATGTCTGTTTGAACAGTTATATTTGAACTGTTATCACTGTGTTTATCAAATAAACAGTAAAAAGACATGAAAACAATTCAAGGTAAAACGTTAGCATTTTTTAACATTACATGGTAATATCATCATGATTTAAAGTGAATGAAAGTATGTGTCGTATTTGGTTAGATAGTTCTGGGATCAAAGTTCCACTAAAGGGATGTTTTTGTTGGGCAAAACGGTGAGGATCTGGTTCTCTTGCTCAATCTGTAATCTTCTCTTTCTCTGTAGTCGGATTCTCCTCCATAGTCTCCTCCACCATAGTCTTCTCTTCCTCTGTAGTCTTCTCTGTAGTCGGATTCTCCTCCATAGTCGCCTCCTCCACTGTAGTCTTCTCCACTGTAGTCGGCTTCTCCTCCATTGTATCCTTTTCCACCACCTTCTCCTTGTCATCAGGGCACAGCTCTGAAATACAGAGGGTGTATTGGATGTAAAGATTAGATACAGAGAGATTTGTGTTGCATGCCTACCACCCCTCAGTGTCACAGAGGAAGTTTATGTCATTGCCATTTCCTGACTCAATTGCATATCCTCTATAATTCAGGCCATACTTGCTCCCAGCTATGTCTCTTTACCACAGGAAAACGAGGCTGCTTTATATGTAGACTACAAAAAGGACATAGCATTTTTATTATGCTTGTGATGTCTCCCCCTTGTGGTTTTGCATGGTTATGACACAGACAGTAGTCCGTCCATGGTGGGTCTGTGATAATGGCCATTGGTCTTTGCATTAATTGCAATTTAGATTTTAAAGGTGCCGAAAACAAGTTGAGCCTGTATATTGCTATGGAACTAGACCCTGACCATGGAATGGCCATCGTTTGTTCCTCTGTCTGCTCAAGATAGTTAGAGAGGTACTTGTGACTGCTCATATGATTTAACCCCTCCTTCCCCTCAAACACACAAGTGACAATTTGGACAAGCTTAACCTTTAATAGATTTTTCAGCATTTATAAAATATAAACAGATGAGGAGCAAAGACAATGGCTGACCTGTTTCTCCATCATAGGTGTGATGTGTCTCTGGGAAGTTCAGGCACTCTGCCTGTTTCTTATAGGTGTCCAGGTATGTGAGATCCATTTTCCCTGACCTTGCTGAAAGAGAGCGAGAGAGAGAACGAGAGAGAAGGGGAGGGAGGCTGGTGAGCTGTCCAAACAGTATGTTGCTTGTGAAATCTTTTAGGGCTGGTAACAGACAACAAAAGGCTCATCTTCCATTAAGTATTTCAAAACATTGCATTGAACTCGCTGGTTACTGAAATAGTGACCCCTTTGACAGAAAGATACTGTTTCAGCACCTTATCGATGTAGGATCAACTTTCACAATGCTCTGCCTGGAGTATAGCCTGCCTACACTGCTACTATTTGTCAACATCAATGAGTGGCGCTCGCTTGGGGCTACCTTCGTACCAGATCTGTATGTGCTTAAACCAACTCTGATAATCATTGTCAGGCCATACATTTTGGTCATGACACTGAACCAACACAGCAGTTAGGAGTTGGTTAAAGCACATCCAGATGGGTCCAGGCTAGTTTGGGAGTGGATTGATTGATTGATTGATTGATTGATTGATTGATTGATTGATTGGACTTACTAAACAGGAGCAGGTATCTGCCAGTGATGTCTCCACTACGAGAGGTGTCTGACCATTGCAGGCAGTCAGGGCAGGTCTCCAGGTACTGACCTTTGTGTTCAGACGAATGAACTGGATCCACAAAATAAAATAAAGGCCTTATTATCCATTATGATTAGGACATTTGGTAACACTTTTTTAGGCATGTTTCAGCTGATTCTTCCAAGAATTCAACACATTTGGTAATTACCTTATACCAAATGGCAGGTTACTTTTTGGTTTCAGTGACTACCAAATAAACTAAAATATAATTATTAGGTCATTATAATGTTGCAAAATTTTTACCATGTCATTTCCAAGTACCTGAAAAATATCTAACTGTAAAATTAAGTGTAACAGGACATTTTCTCTGAATCTTTACAGGCTTATCATCATGACATACAGTGAAGACAACATGGTATAATGATAAGGCACTGGGTACAGTACAATATACACAATAAATAGGCAAGTGGATAAAGCCCCTCTTATTGAGCAGCTAAATTATTTCATCATTAAGATGTAGAGCGCTAGCCCGGTTGCCAAATCTGTGTCTGTTTCTACTTTAGCCAACTCGCGCCTTTGTTGATGTCCTATTTGGCATAGCCGCCAGAGAAGGGTGTTGGCTAAAGCACAGACAGATCTGGCAAGCAGACTAGTAGAGCACAGGTCACTTACTGTGAACTGTGGAGGTTGTGCCGGAGATGGTAGCATTTGTTGCACCCACGACGCATTTGCCATCACTGATTTGATATTTAGGAAAACTTGTTAGCATATACAAGGTGCCAACCTGAGACATTCTCTTTGCTTTCCGAGAAAGGTGAAATGAAATGTCTACCATTGCAGATACTTTCTTAATATTTTTTAAAGCCCATTCCTAACTACAATGACATTTGTTACAGTCCATATTCATATCCACAACCTAACCAGACTTACATGCGGTCTCCCCAACGTAATGTGACTACTTGATGGTCAGATGTAGCCGACAGGTCTATCCAGGAGCTTTTCAGAGTCCCCAAAGCGTTTTGGAAGACTGAATGATCCGCAGACCCCATCACATACACCCATTTGCCATAGATCTACCAGTCACAGACAAGGAAAAATCCATGAGTTTCAAACCATCTTCATTGCAGTATCCTTAACCCAACTTGGACCATTTGAAGTTGAAAAAAACCGATAAGTACACTCTTAGAAAAAAGGGTTCCAAAGAGGTTGTTCGGCTGTCCCCATAGGAGAACCCTTTTTGGTTACAGGTAGAACCCTTTTGGGTTCTTTGTAGAACCCTCTATGAAAAGGGTTCTACATGGAACTCAAAAGGGTTCTTTCTACCTGGAACCAAAAAGGGTTCTTCAAAGGGTTCTCCTAAGGGGACAGCTGAAGAACCCTTTAAGGTTCTAGATAGCACCTTTTGTTGCTGAGAATCTTCCTACGCTGCAGGAAATGCAAATGAGCTTCATGATTTACATAAATTAACTGAAAACCCACACTAACACACAGTTATTGCACTTTTCATGTAGCCTACTTTTGTCCAGCTAATAGCCTAACCACTGATCAAACAACATTATGGACTAAATGTTCAAATCCTGTTGCTGCAGGATTATTTTGCCATGACAATACTGGTCAAATTAAGATCCTAAATCTGTATGTATACTGCACAGCATCTGTCACTGTCCCAAAATAAATAATCACATGCTTTCATTGATTTGCCACAAATAGCTCTTACTTGTAAAATAAATGGCCATGTCTCAAAATGACACCTTATTCCCCAGAGTCTTTGGCTCTGGCCAAAGTAGGTTTTCTGGAGAGGGAGTAGTGTCATCTGCGACATAGTCATTAAGTCCAAAAGATCATGTTTAGTACTATGATCACAACTTACCTCAGTATGGTCCTCCAGAACCAGGGGTTTGACCAGTTCTTTACAGACCGGTGCAGATGCAGCACTCAGAAAACCTAGAGCCAGGAGAGCTACAACCAGCTGGACAGACATAGTGAGAGAGAGATGGAGCAGAGACACTTGAGACGATAGTACAGCCAGAGCAGAACACCTCTACTGCTGGGGCATATGCTTCACAGAGGCTTAGACAAAACATTGTTGCATAAGGGGCCATGTGGAGGAGGAAGAGGAGGGGAGGTTTTCAATGCTTGAATGGATAAGTCAAGGCCTAAATCAGCATTCATATCCAGGCTATTCTTATATAACACTGAATGGTTGTCCCCTCCCTGACTGAGTGGACACCATCTATTAGCTAGGGACCAGAACACTCTAAATAGAAACTTCTGTATGGGAATACTGCCCTTGAATGAATTCAAACAAACAGCCTGGATACCAGGTAAATGATGACGACCACAGTCTGGTGAGGTAACTTTTGTTATAACAAGTAACAATGAGCTAAATAATTAATCAAATTATCAATAGGGTGGAGAGTGTGTCTGGATTGGAATAGAACTACTGTAAAAAAAAAAAAACATTGCAGGATGAAGAGGGAGGAAGCCATTGGTTTGGTGTATGTGCACATGGATTTCTTTGCACATGAGGCCTACACTTTCTCATGGGTTACCTGGCAACCAACTGCCTTGGTCCCAAAAAAAATAGCTTTTCTTTGGAGTGTTTTATTGTGGCCTTTTGTCTCATTTGGCACACAGATGTAACAATGTGCTGACTCCTAGGAACCAATACATTAATTCAGGGTGAGGCTACATGGAGACTGAAACAGGTAGCAATTTAAATAGATTTTAATAAAAGATGACCCAGATTATGTGGCTGAAATAGCCTAATCCACTCATTTGAATGGGGTATCTCCGACATTGCTCGTCCTAATATATATCTATATATTTTTTTTTACTTTAAGATTTGTGTGTATTGTTAGATATTACTGCACTGTTGGAGCTAGGAACACAAGTATTTCGCTACACCCGCAATAACATCAGCTAAATATGTGTATGCGACCAATACAATTTTATTTTATTTGAAAAAGCCTATTAACTTGTCGACAAGTTAACAAATTACAGTGCCTTCAGAAAGTATTCACCTCCCTTGACTTTTTCCACATTTTGTGGTGTTACAGCCTGAATTTAAAATTGATTAAATTGAGATTTTGTGTCACTGGCCTACACAAAATCCCCTATTAATGTCGAATTGGAATTATGTTTAAAGACATTTTTCCAAATTAATAAAAAATGAAAAGCCAAAATAATTTCAGTAGTAAAAATGTGCTTAACACGTCACATAATAAGGTGCATGGACTCACTCTGTGTGCAATAATAGTGTTTAATATGATTTTTTAATGACTACCTCATCTCTGTACCCTACACATACAATTATCTGTAAGGTCCTTCAGTCGAGCAGTGAATTTCAAACACAGACTCAACTAAAAAGACCAGGGAGGTTTTCCAATGCCCCGCAAAAGAGGGCACATATTGGTAGATGGGTCAAAATAAAAAATGCAGACATTGAATATCCCTTTGAGCATGCAGAAGTTATTAATTGCACTTTGGATGGTGTATCAATACACCCAGTCATTACAAAGATACAGGCGTCCTTCCTAACTCAGTTGCCGGAGAGGAAGAAAACCGCTCAGGCCAATGGTGACTTTAAAATAGTTACAGAGTTTAATGACTGTGATAGGAGAAAACTGAGAAAGGATCAACAACATTGTAGTTACTCCACAATATTAACCTAAACGACAGAGTGAAAAGAAGGAAGCCTGTACACAATGAAAATATTCCAAAACATGCATCCTGTTTGCAATAAGGAACTAAAGTAAAATGGCGAAGAAATTAACTTTATGTCCTGAAAACAAAGTGTTATGTTTGGGGCAAATCCAACACAACACATAACTGAGTACCACTCTCCATATCTTCAAGCATGGTGGTGGCTGCATCATGTTATGGGTGTGCTTGTCATTGGCAAGGACTAGGGAGTTTTCTTTTTGGGATAAAAAGAAACGGAATAGAGCTAAGCACAGGAAAAATCTTAGAGGAAAAGCTGGTTCAGTCTGCTTTTCCAACAGACACTGGGAGACAAATGCACCAGGACAATAACCTAAAACACAAGGCCAAATATACACTGGAGTTGTTTACCAAGACGACGTTGAATGTTGCTGAGTGGCCTACTTAAAGTTTTGACTTAAATCGTCTTGAAAATGTATGGGAAGACTTGATCATGTCTGGCTAGCAATGATCAACAACCAACTTGACAAAGCTTGAAGAATTTTTAAAATAATAATGTGCAAATATTGTACAATCCAGGTGTGCTTACCCCAGAAAGACTCACAGCTGTAATCGCTGCCAAAGGTGATTCTAACATGTATTGACTCAGGGGTGTGAATACTTATGGAATTTCATTTGCAATAAATTTGCTAACATTTCTAAAACATGTTTTCACTTTGTTATTATGGGTGAGGAAAAACATATATTTAATCCATTTTGAATTCAGGCTGTAACACAACAAAATGTGGAATAAGTCAAGGGGTATGAATACTTTCTGAAGGCACTGTACGTACATGTTGGATTGTTACTCATCCATGGATTCACGTCTCCAACTAAACCAAAAATAAAAGTTAAAGAATAGGATTAAGCCAGTGGCTCAAATGAAACTATCCAAGCATTAGATATCCTTTAAATTGTAATATTTGTCTGCGTTGTCAACCAAACACAATTCAATAATAATTTTGTAATACAGTAAATAGCCTAAAGTTAAGGCTATTTTACAAACTAATGTAACAGTATTTATTCAATCTTAAAATGAGTAACACATCCATGGCCACATTTTGCATGTTCAAGATAGCATGCAAAGGTCGCAGGTCTGTGTAGATCTTCACAATTGCTAAAATAATCTGCGCAGAATCTTGAACAGCATTGATCACTTGCACTATGTACTTTTAATATAATCTTAACTGCAATCCATGTCTTTGGTTGTGCTATTAGATGAAGCACAGTGAAACACATTAAGTTGCTGTATAAATACAAAATATCTGACATACACTGAACAAAAATATAAACGCAACATGCAACAATTTCAAAGATTTTACTGAGTTACAGTTCATATAAGGAAATCAGTCAATTTAAATACATTCATTAGGCCCTAATCTATGGATTTCACATGACTGGGAATACAGATATGCATCTGTTGGTCACAGATACTGTACCTTTAAAAAAGTTCAGGGCGTGGATCAGAAAACCAGTCAGTATCTGGTGTGACCACCATTTGTCTTATGCAGAACGACATATCCTTCGCATAGAGTTGATCAGGCTGTTGATTGTGGCCTGTGGAATGTTGTCCCACTCCTCTTCAATTGTTGTGTGAAGTTGCTGGATATTGGCGGGAACTGGAACACGCTGTTGTACACTTCAATCCAGAGCATCCCAAACATGCTCAATGGGTGACGTCTGGTGAGTATGAAGGCCATGGAAGAACTGGGACATTTTCAGCTTCCAGGAATTGTGTACAGATCCTTGCGACATGGGGCTGTGCATTATCATGCTGAAACATGAGGTTATGGCAGCGGATTAATGGCACGACAATAGGCCTCACGATCTCGTCACGGTATCTCTTTGCATTCAAATTGCCATCAATAAAATGCAATTGTGTTCGTTGTCCATAGTTTATGCCTGCCCATACCATAACCCCGCCACCATGGGGCACTCTGTTCACAACGCTGACATCAGCAAACCGCTCGCCCACACGACGCCATACATGTGGTCTGCGGTTGTGAGGCCGGTTGGACGTACTGCCAAATTCTCTAAAACAACGTTGGAGGAGGCTAATGGTAGAGAAATTAACATTCAATTATCTGGCAACCGCTCTGGTGGACATTCCTGCAGTCAGCATGCCAATTGCCCACTCCCTCAAAACTTGAGACATCTGTGGCATTGTGTTGTGTGACAAAACTGCACATTTTAGTGGCCTTTTATTGTCCCCCGCACAAGGTGCACCTGTGTAATGATCATGCTGTTTAATCAGCTTCTTGATATGCCACACCTGTCAGATGGACGGATTATCTTGGCAAAGGAGAAATGCTAACTAACAGGGATGTGAACAAATTTGTGCACAACATTTGAGAGAAATAAGCTTTTTGTGCATATGGAAAATCTCTGGGATCTTTTATTTCAGCTCATGAAAAATGGGACTAAAACTTTACATGTTGCATTTATATTTTTGTTCAGTGTAGTATTCCCATTTGAACTTTGTTGTGCTTTTAAATGCTTGAAAGCGCAGTAATAACACATTTAGATGACAACTAAACCACAAATCTGACATTGTTTTTCCATTGTAATTTGGTTGTGTTTTAGATGATTAAGAGCATAGTGATAGCACATTGGGAATTCAACAAACTTCTGGAGTGGGTCAACCAAATATTACCCACATTTCCACGTTGAAATGATGTGGTGTCCCCAGTGGGCATAGCCTACACAAACACATACAGACAAGGAATCAACATTTTGAATGAGAGAAGATAAGCTTTATACCAGCATATTCAAAACCCATGTAGTACTTATATTTCTATGTATTTACAAAACATAACACAAGGTAAAAGAAAAAAGAAGAAAGAAAATGAACACATCACAAATGGAAACAAACATAACCAAACATTTGGAATAACATTTTTGGAAAGTTCAAATTTACAAATGTATCTTTCAGTATTTACATTTGTGACTTCGAACTAACATGAAAACAAAAGCCTCTGTACTGGTGTCCTCTAGTTCATCATCCCCTCTCTCTTTCTTTCTCTCTTTCTGTCCATTTGTAAGATAAAATACATAAAACGTAGAGGAGATAGATTTGTGAGCTTTACAGGTAGACGTATGGGAGGGAGTAGTAAATCCACTTCTAAATAATATCATAATAATCTAACATGGACTAATGATTAGGTTTAAAACAATACAAAATACACCTACTGTATTTCACCTCCACACAAACTCTCCAAAATACATTAAGATCACAGTTTGTCCGGATGACAATAATAAATTAAGAGAATGATTTAACTGCATGTTTTTAAAGGCCCAATGCAGTCAAAAACTAGATTTTAAATTGATTTTAATTTGAAAACAATCAAAGTAAGGTACTTAATTGTTACCCAGAAATGATTTGATATTGAGATAAAAACGACTGCATTGGACCTTCACACAAAACCCTCTCCAACCATTGTCAACCATTGCTGCAGTTTCTGTCTTCCTTTTTCATTCAATCTAAATAATTGTTTATATTTGTAAAGCGCTTTTCATTATACAGAGTAATCTAAAAGTGCATAAAATAAAAAATATAAAACCAAATGGACACAACTAGACAGGGCAACTGACACAAAGAACACAGCTAACACTACAAGGGACAAGGACACCAAGGAGCACAGCTATCAACAGAAAGCCTTTCTAAAGTGAAAGGTCTTTAGGCCCGTTTTAAAGGAGCCCAGAGTCTGTGGTGCCTTCAGGTGGTCATGGAGGCATTCCAGAGTCTGGGGGGTGGTCAAGCTGAAAGCCTGATCCCCCAAGGAACGGAGCTTGGTCCTGGGGGCGTGGAGGAGCAGGCTATCGCTTGACCTGATGGTGCGGGTGGGGTTATGGAGGGAGAACAGTTCTTTGAAATAAGCAGGAGGGTTTTGAATTCAATCCGGAATGAGATGGGGAGCCAGTGCAGAGATGCCAGGATGGGGTGATGGTGTTTCCGCACTCTCATCAGGATCCTGGCAGCGCTGCCAGGGATCCTGATGAAGAGTGTGTTGCAGTAGTCCAGCCTTGAGGAGATAATGGCATGGACAAGCTTTTCTGCGTCAGACTGAGTGAGGGTAGGACGCAGTTTGACAATGTTATTGAGGTGATAGAATGATGCTTGGCTTTACACAATTGTTTGATCTGGCTGTCAAAGGTCTGGGAGGAATCAAGCTTTACACCCAGATTGGAAACTGAGGGGGAGAGAGGGATGTTCTGTCCTGCAGTGGTGAGGTGTGTTATTGGTGAGTGAAGGACCTGGTGGGGGGTGCCAACAAGTAGGGCCTCGGTTTTGCTTCTGTTCAGTTGAAGGAAGTTTTGCTTTATCCATGTCCCTATCTCCTCAAGGCAGGTGTTCCAAAAAAATCTACAGTTTTGCATTAATTGAATAATCATAACAGACATTGCATCATTTTGACAAGGCAGAAAACCAACCACTTTAATTCTCTCTTCTCTCTATGTCAGATGTGTAATCGTTAGATTGGTGAATCTCTATTTGTTTTGTAGGTGTTGATGCTCGTGGTCAAGACATAGATATAAGAATGATATCTGCATTTATGTCTCATATCTAATTCACTATTTTATCTCCCTCTCTCTGTGCAGTCAACATAGCACATCAAATCCAAGTGTATGGAGGTGAAATTAAAATAAGAGCTCTTGGTGAATGTTCACTGTGGGACCAAAATCTCAAATCACTGAAGCTGTTGCCCAGTTCCACATAGGCTTTATCTCAGGTTGTTGTGTATCCAATGCCATCTCAATATAATTAATCCAAATTATAGACGGTGGTTGCCATAATGTCCATCAAATCTCAAAACATATAACGACTGCATGTGGGGAGACAGGCCAGAAAGCTATCCTCTCGGATTTCTTTACACTTGAGGGTTTTCAGTTTCTTTTCCACAAGATGGTGGATCATGGTACATATGTCTGTGTTAGCAGACTTAGCACAACTGAGAGTGTGCAGTGACATACATTTATAAATATTCAGAGATGTTTTATTTAGGTTCCTTTATACAGTCTCTGATGGTAGGTGTTGATGAACGAAGCAGACGGTCACAAATGTAAAATGGAGAGGACACAGAAGAAAAGAAGAGACCAAACACAGATAGAGAGAGGCCAGTGTCCACTGTCCTGGTAGGGATATCACAGAGAGGAAGAGCCACTGAGCTTAGATGACATCACATCCTGTCTCTGTGTTTTCCACCAATCCACACCACTAACTGACCAGCTGGTGGAGCCTTCACACACTCATGGTCATGTTTGGAGAATACTGCAGAGAGAAACAGAGAGAGAGACATGGAAATATGATCAATACATAATAATTTGGTGTGTTCTTATATTTGTCATATTTCACACATGTACAAGTGTGTATTAATACGCATTTGTGAATTGGAAATGTGTTATTTGCATATCCCAACTCTCCCTGAGACACCCTCAGAGATTGGGGTCCATTTAGGGTTAAGTGCCTTGCTGAAGGGCACATCGAGAGATTTTTCACCTTGTTGGCTCTGAGATTCGAACTAGCAACCTTTCGGTTACTGTTCCAACGCACTAACCGCCAGGCTAACTGCTGCCAAACGCACATCCATACTCCTATGAAGCAAAACACAAATAATGTATCGACTTCACTTCACTTCCACGGTTTGTAAAGTTCAGACAACTGCTTGATGATTGCCCATTGGACCAGGTGTGAATGTTCTTGGGGCCTAACCTACCCAACCAGTTTAAATACAATGGGAGATCCTGTTGATGGCCCATTAGCAGGCAGTTAAATATGGTAAGTTGAGAGCCAATGAGAGGGTTTTGTGCCTGCAGGAGTAGTATGTATGATCTTTTACATAATAGTGTAGGTTAACAGCAAGGATAAACCGATATCACAAGATGCCTTGCTCATATCGATATCAAAGGATATCGATATCATACCGAATTATTGATATTGGTGCCCACCACCAATGTGAACAAATAGGGCACACACACTGAAATGCCCCTACACATACCTGAGGTGGTTGGTGAAACATTGTGTTGGTATGTATTGGAGAACTTCAGTGTTTAGGCCATTATTTTTATGTATTATCAACACTATACACTAACAGTATATAATTTGTAGGCTTTAGTGAAAGTTGGTAAAAAATTATAATCTTTAGGCCTACTGCTAGAAAATGTACCTATAGGCCTAATTTAATTTGTCGCTGGCACTTTGAATAACCTCTTACAGTTAATCAGTCAGAGTTATACAAAACAGTCTTCATCATACAGATATTCTACCAATAACATGTGTCAGTGAGCAGCCATTTGAGTGAGGGTGTGGGTATGAACTCACGCTCTCGTTCTGAAAGGGGTTGAGGAAGTTGCCACCCATCTCTCCATCCTCTCTGGGGGTCCCCGGCTGGTTACTCAGACTCAGGTTACCAGGAGAGTTCTGATCAGGACCAACCACAAAACACAGAAATATCATGTATCAAATATCTATACATACCATACCATACCATACTATATAGGGCAGATGAACAATTAACGGTAGTACCAATATTTCAACCACATACAAATACAGGCTAATCACTACAACGTGTTGTGAAACACTTAATTCTGTCTGAAAATTGATTGACAGATATGACTGATTTGCTGGTGACTGATGGTTTGGGTTGAGTTGGACTCTTCTCTTACCTTAGGGAGGCTGTCCATGTCTCCAGACCCTGGTTGTTTGAGAGACAGAAGGTGACAAAAATTAGAAGGACATTACTATACAGTCCAGCAAACACATAAACTTGCTCTTCACAAGACTAGTATAGTGAGTTAAGAACAAGCTCAAAGCGTATGTGCGTGTGTATGTTTGTAAGTGTTACCTAGCGACCCGTTCATGTGATGTGGCTCCATTCCTGCCATCCCTCCCATTGGACCGTCTGCACCTGGACCCATTGGGAACTTAGCACCAAACACAAGCACACAGTTAAACACAGTTGAATACACACACAGAAACACGCATGCCGCGCACACGCACACACACAGAGATAATAATGAATGAGTTGTCTTACATTTGGTCTGTTTCCACCAGGAGGGACTGTGTTGATCAGGGTGTACATGTTGTCACCAGAGTTAGTTGAGTCTGACAGGAAACAATGGGAAGCAGACCCATAGGTGCAATAATAACCGCTCAAAAAACATAAGAACCATTACATACAGTTTACTGTACATATGTATACACTCACACACACGCATACACACACGCATACACACACACGCATGGATAAGAGCGTCTGCTAAATGACTAAAATGTAGAAACTTTAACATACTACTGGCCAAATTGGCAACTGACTTCAGGTAAAGCATTACGTTACACATTAGGCCAGATATAAACAGCTAAATAGTTTCACGGACCAAATGGCTTAAGTCAGTTTGTAACATTGTGAATGTATCCCTGTCCTTGTAACCCCACACACACATCCATTGTGCCACACTCAGGTCAAGGCCTAGGGACGCCAGATACCATAGACCTACGCAGTGCAAAGATTCAAATACAAGAAGATCCAATGATGCCTTAGGTGAGTAAATATGACTTAGCTCTGTCTAAATCGTAGATATCAACGTGACGTCAATTGCGTTTCCCCTCCCGGTCAGCAACTAACAAGACTCAAACACACACACAAACACACACACTACCTGCTGGGCTGGGCATTATTGGAGTACCAGGTGGCCCCCCTCCTCCTGGCGGACCCTAAAATGAGAGTTGATAATGGGGAGATGAATGCCTCTGATACATCACAGCTACAACACACCAACAATACAATGCTCTTAATAGCTATAAACACAATACTCCCTATACTGCCCTGTAACTAACAGGCAAATACAGACAACCAACTTCCAGTCACATACCACATAACTCCCTGGAGACGCAGAGGAGTAGGGGATCTATAGACAGAGAGGGGGTGGGAGAGAGAGAAGAAAATTTTTCTTTATTCAAACCCTCTCTGCGAGAAATGTATGGACATTTATTGTTTTATTGTAATAATGGTGTATTTAGGTATCTGTCTTGGTGGTTGTGTTATACTGTTTTTCTTTACTCACCGAGTTGGCGTTTGGAGGATTTGGCCAAGGTCTACCCCCACCAGGGCCCCTAGAATACACGTCCACACACACACACTCACACTTTAGTTTTTGAACACGTCATAAGCCATGGCAAAACATTTTTAGAATGACAGGAAATTAGCTGTAAAACTGCACATTTTCTCTCAGCAGGAAATCTGCTTTAAAAATACAAAATTCTCTCAGCCTCATTGCAAAATGTGTAGAATATTATGAGATTATCTATAAAACTGCATATTTTTCTCTCTGCCCCACGGCAATACAGTGCCTTCAGAAAGTATTCCCAGCCTTTGACTTTTTCCACATTTTGTTGTGTTACAGCCTGAATTTAAAATGGTTTAAATTGAGATTTTGTGTCACTGGCCTACACACAATACCCCATAATGTCAAAGTGGAATTATGTTTTTGGAAAAATGAAAAGCTGAAATGTCTTGAGCCAATAAGTATTCAATCCCTTTGTTATGACAAGTCTAAATAAATTCAGGAGTAAAAATGTGCTTAACAAGTCACATAATAAGTTGCATGGACTCACTCTGTGTGCAGTAATAGTGTTTAACATTATATTTTTATGACTACCTCATATCTGTACCCCACACATACAATTATCTGTAAGGTCCTTCAGTCGAGCAGTGAATTTCAAACACAGACTCAACTACAAAGACCAGGGAAGTTTTCCAATGCAATGAGGGGTACCCATTGGTAGATGGGTAAAAAATTTAAAACGCAGACATTGAATATCCCTTTGAGCATGGTGAATTTATGAATTACACTTTGGATGGTGTATCAATACACCCAGACACTACAAAGATACAGTCGTCCTTCCTAACCACTCAGGGATTTCACCATGAGGCCAATGGTGACTTTAAAACAGTTAGTGTTTAATGGCTGTGATAGGAGAAAACTGAGGATGGATCAACAACATTTTAGTTACTCCTTAATACTAACCTAAATGACAGAGTGAAAAGAAGGAAGCCTGTACAGAATACAAATATTCCAAAACATGCATCTTGTTTGCAACAAGGCACTAAAGTAAAACTCCCCAAAAAATTGGCTAAGAAATTAACTTTACATCCTGAATGCAAAGCCTTATGTTTGGGGCAAATCCAACACAACACATCACTGAGTACCACTCTTTATATTTTCAAGCATGGTGGTGGCTGCATCATGTTATGGGTATGCTCGTCATCGGCAAAGACTAGGGAGCTTTGTAGGATAAAAAGAAACGGAATAGAGCTAAGCATAGCAAAAATCCTAGAGGAAAACTGGTTCAGTCTGCTTTCCAAAAGACACTGGGAGACAAATTAACCTTTCAGCAGGACAATAACCTAAAACACAAGGCCAAATACACTGAGTGTACAAAACATTAAGAACACCTGCTCTTTTTTATTTGTATTTATTTATTATTTCACCTTTATTTAACCAGGTAAGCCAGTTGAGAACAAGTTCTCATTTACAACTGCGACCTGGCCAAGATAAAGCAAAGCAGTGCGATAAAAACAACAACACAGAGTTATATATGGGGTAAACAAAACATAAAGTCAAAAATACAACAGAAAATATATATACAGTGTGTGCGAATGTAGTAAGTTATGGAGGTAAGGCAATAAATATGCCATAGTGCAAAATAGTTACAATTTCGTATTAACACTGGAATGATAGATGTGCAAAAGATGATGTGCAAATAGAGATACTGGGGTGGAAATTAGCAAAATAAATAACAATATGGGGATGAGGTAGTTGGGTGGGCTAATTTCAGAATGGCTGTGTACAGGTGCAGTGATCGGTAAACTGCTCTGACAACTGACGCTTAAAGTTAGTGAGGGAGATAAGAGTCTCCAGCTTCAGAGATTTTTGCAGTTAGTTCCAGTCATTGGCAGCAGAGAACTGGAAGGAATGGCGGCCAAAGGAGGTGTTGGCTTTGGGGATGACCAGCAAGATATAACTGCTGGAGCACAGACTGCGGGTGGGTGTTGCTATGGTGACCAGTGAGCTAAGATAAGACAGGGATTTGCCTAGCAGTGATTTATAGATGACCTGGAGCCAGTGGGTTTGGCGACGAATATGTAGTGAGGGCCAGCCAACAAGAGCGTACAGGTCACAATGGTGGGTAGTATATGGGGCTTTGGTGACAAAACGGATGGCACTGTGATAGACTACATCCAATTTGCTGAGTAGAGGGTTGGAGGCTATTTTGTAAATTACATCGCCAAAGTCAAGGATTGGTAGGATAGTCAGTTTTACGAGGGCATGTTTGGCAGCATGAGTGAAGGAGGCTTTGTTGCGAAATAGGAAGCCGATTCTAGATCTAACTTTTGATTGGAGATGCTTAATGTGAGTCTGGAAGGAGAGTTTACAGTCTAACCAGACACCTAGGTATTTGTAGTTGTCCACATACTCTAGGTCAGACCCGCCGAGAGTAGTGATTCTAGTCGGGCGGGCGGGTGCAAGCAGCGTTCGGTTGAAGAGCATGCATTTAGTTTTACTAGTGTTTAAGAGCAGTTGGAGGCTACGGAAGGAGTGTTGTATGGCGTTGAAGCTCGTTTGGAGGTTTGTTAACACAGTGTCCAATGAAGGGCCAGATGTATACAAAATGGTGTCGTCCACATAGAGGTGGATCCGAGCGTCACCAGCAGCAAGAGCGACATCATTGATATACACAGAGAATAGAGTCGGCCCGAGAATTGAACCCTGTGGTACCCCCATAGAGACGGCCAGAGGTCCAGACAACAGGCCCTCCGATTTGACACATTGAACTCTATCTGAGAAGTAGTTGGTGAACCAGGCGAGGCAGTGATTAGAGAAACCAAGGCTATTTAGTCTGCCAATAAGAATGCGGTGGTTGACAGAGTCGAAAGCCTTGGCCAGGTCGATGAAGACGGCTGCGCAGTACTGTCTTTTATCGATCGCGGTTATAATATCGTTTAGGACCTTGAGCGTGGCTGAGGTGCACCCATGACCATCTCGGAAACCGGATTGCATAGCGGAGAAGGTACGGTGGGATTCGAAATGGTCGGTGATCTGTTTGTTAACTTGGCATTCAAATACTTTCGAAAGGCAGGGCAAGATGGATATAGGTCTGTAACAGTTTGGATCTAGAGTGTCACCCCCTTTGAAGAGGGGGATGACCGCGGCAGCTTTCCAATCTCTGGGGATCTCAGACGTTACGAAAGAGAGGTTGAACAGGCTAGTAATAGGCGTTGCGACAATTTTGGCGGCTAATTTTAGAAAGAAAGGGTCCAGATTGTCTAGCCCAGCTGATTTGTAGGGGTCCAGATTTTGCAGCTCTTTCAGAACATCAGCTGTCTGAATTTGTGTGAAGGAGAAGCGGGGGGGGGCATGGGCAAGTTGCAGCGGAGGGTGCAGAGCTGGTGGCTGGGGTAGTGGTAGCCAGGTGGAAAGCATGGCCAGCCGTAGCAAAATGCTTGTTGAAATTCTCGATTATTGTAGATTTATCGGTGGTGACAGTGTTTCCTAGCCTCAGTGCAGTGGGCATCCAGGCTCTGTCGCAGCCGGCCGCGACCGGGAGACTCATGGGCGGCGCACAATTGGCCCAGCGTCGTCCAGGGTAGGGGAAGGAATGGCCGGCAGGGATGTAGCTCAGTTGATAGAGCATGGCGTTTGCAATGCCAGGGTTGTGGGTTCAATTCCCACGGGGGGCCAGTATAAAAAAAAAAAATGTATTCACTAACTGTAAGTCGCTCTGGATAAGAGCGTCTGCTAAATGACGTAAATGTAATGTAAATGAGGTGCTCTTATTTTCCATGGACTTTACAGTGTCCCAAAACTTTTTGGAGTTAGTGCTACAGGATGCAAATTTCTGTTTGAAAAAGCTAGCCTTTGCTTTCCTAACTGATTGTGTATATTGGTTACTGACTTTCCTAAAAAAGTTGCATATCGCGGGGGCTGTTCGACGCTAATGCAGTACGCCACAGGATGTTTTTGTGCTGGTCAAGGGCAGTCAAGTCTGAGGAGAACCAGGGGCTATATCTGTGACATAGACTGACCAGGTGAATCCAGGTGAAA